TGAAATCACAGGTATAGCCCCTATTGCTTTCACTTGGTTAGTAAATATGTAAGCCAGGACTTTTAGATCTTTTAACACAGACTACTGAGTTAAAATTTGCCCCCCCCATTTCCTATATTCATTAGTTTTCTATTATTCTACACTTTTTCTAAGCAGCTTTCTTTTATTTTGTTATTAAGCATTTACTAATTCTTTTCTTCTCTTTACTGCTCACCAGACTATTAAAACTTCTTGAAAGGTTTAAGGACCCATCTATACCTATGTGCTTTTTTCCTCTTATATTTAAAAAATACACAGATTTGTTTTTTTGATGTTTGGAGCCAGGAAAAGGCAGAAAAATCTCAATTTGGAGTCTCAAATTTGCCTCTTAGCTAGTATAGATACAACTCCGAGGAAAAGTCCAGAGTTACTACCCCACGTGTGACAAATTCTATTTATTTCAAGCCAGCCAGTCAAAACATAGCCCACCTCTCCCATTCCCCTCCTCTGACAACACAAAGACAGAGTGTTCTTCATGGATCCACATCCTGAGTGATCCTGTTAATAACAAAATTGTCCCAGATCTCAGTGTTCTCGTGTCTATGAAACAAATATCCTTTTAAACCACACACATCAAATGGTGTTCAGAGACTGCATTAGCCATCTTTATTGCACTCAGAGGAAGAACTCAAGACACATATGTAGAATGGATTTTTTAAAGTAGATGTTTTCTTGACCCAATTAATTTTTTATTCAGTGAAAAAAGTTGACAAAGACAAAAATCCTTTAAAATTGTGCGACAATATAGTAAAATCTTTAGCAGAAATCAGTGACTTAAGAAACTTATCAAGGCAATTTAAATTATAAACATCTAATGTTACTTTGGAGAAGAACAAATATAGAGTTTTGCTTAAATAAGAGCAGTACAGGATTTATTTTTTTTTCTGCAAATGCTTGTGAATTTGCTTAAAATTTTTAATGATTCCTAACAGAATCTTTCAAGAGAGAAGCTCTATGGCAAACAGGAGAATAATATTGTTCCATTTCACCATTCACTCTTTCATCCCTCTAAGATACTATACATGAGACTAATACCATTCCTGGATTACTTGGCTCTTAAAAGTTGCGATATGGCTGCTCTAAATGAGTGGGCAGAAACATATATGCACCTAATCCTCCCTTAGCCTCTTTTCCTGTTAAGTGGTGATGATACCTTTTTGAAAACATACCTCTCATCAGCATGCTGCCAGTATGTTATCTTATTCCATCGCTTAGGCTTGCATAGAGAAGAACTTGTATAAACTCAATGTACTGGTTTTTAAACATTCAAGTTAAGACTAATTAGATGGCAGGAATTTCAAAGAAGAGTCCTAATGTAAGCTGTTTCAAAGATTCCCGCCTGGATATTTAATCAACATAAGGTGGCATTCAGTTTGATTATTTTCCTAGATGCCTTCTTTGCACGGATTTTATTCTTTGCCAGTGAGAGATGAAATAGTCTGGAAGACCTGCAGTCAGTAGACAGTCTTGGGTGAGGGGTTCTCCATCAGTAGCAGCAACCTCGGTGAAGAAGGAATCAAACTGCTAGGATGGATCTTCCCCTAGGAAGAAAATTTGGGGACGTATTTTCACAAGATACAATAACTAGTCTACCTAAACCAACTGAAAGAATGACTGAATAAAGCAGGTATGTGTGTGTGTGTGTGTGTGTGTGTGTGTGTGTGTGTGTGTGTGTGTGTTGGGGGAGGGGCTTCCCTTGTCACATCCCCTACACTTGACATTGCCTCTTTTCCATTCAAGAGAAGTGACCTATGAGGCACAATCGAGCTAATTTATTGAATGGACATTTGACATTTAGGAACATACTATATGGGTTACACGTTACTGGAAGAAGAAAGCAGGAGACAGCTAACCTCTCCCTCTGTCATCAGTGGCAGTGATCCTAGGGATGCCATTAAGGATAGAATGAATCCCTATAAACTCCTTTTTCAAGAGACAAAAGCTCCTCCCAGTGGCTGGCATCGTAAGGGTTTTCACAGACTTTTAAGTCAGCCACCAAGCTGCTAGAGGTGTTTTGTCTTGTTTTGTTTTGTTTTTTAACAACCTGGAAGGTTGGACTATACAGACATGGCCTCCTCAAGGACTCTGCAGGACTCTACTGTCCAATCATGACTGCTAATTAAACACCTCAAGAGAGGCCCATGTCACATAAAGTCCAAAGGGTTTTGCTGCACATACCACACAGACAGTCAACTTCCAGTACAAACTTCTTGATGTTATTCCTTGCCCAATCTGTTCCCCTTGCTCAATTTCAATGATCCCCATTAGGGGACTTGGTTCTACTGGGAGAAATATGAAAACTCCCCACTCCCCCTCAAACATGACAGATCAAATGGAGAGCATCTTCACCAAGGCACGAGACCCCCTTTGCCAAAAGCACCCACTGACATTGGCTGTGTCACAGTGAGGGAAAATATCCAGTCACTTGAAAAGGCACTCAGAAATTTCTTGACATTTCCCAGTGCCACTTCAACCACACTGGATCCCTTTAGATTTCATATATACATCCCGACCCCACACAACTACATGAAGAAAGCTGATGTGCTTCAAAACTCCATAAAAATATACAATTTACACATCGCTGCATCTATCTATATCTATCTTCGTATTCTGGAGCTGAGCTCTTCTGTTTATATAAAATGCACTAGCCCTACAAGGCTGCTTTCTCTAACAGCACAAGGGGCATTATTTCAAGGGGAGAGGTGGTGGCCGGCATATTCAGTACTGTGCACACAGCATTGCGAGGCACTAGGAACTCTCAAAAATACCTAAACATTGCTGACGGAGACCTGATCTATACACGAAATTACCTACAGAATCAATGAAAACAATGTCTTAGAGCTCACCAGAGCCCTGTATGATGGTTTTAACAGACAACACAAAGGATTGATAGGAAGGGAGGAAAAGAATCATACTTCCTCGTTTAATTTATTTAATTAAATTAATTTATTTATTTAAATTTAATTAATTCTCTCTTCTCCCCACCCCCTGATTTTTAATCTTTCAGCTACTTAAAGGAGTAATTAAAGGGGGAGGTAGAAGGAATAATCAATAATAAAATCCCAGCCAAGAATGGAGAAAACCAATAAAACTCCTGTCTTTCAAAAAGAAACAATGGCCTGGGAGAAGGCTCACTTCACCACCACCACCACACATTAAAAATGAGAGGAGTAGCCACACCGAGAATGAAACTTGTATCGTTTCAAATATTTCTTATCTGAAATTAAAGTCAACAGTTTAAAAAAGACTATGGGCTCTTTTTCTCCCCCAACACAATCCTTAAGAAGACTGTAAGTACATTTTGTTACACAAAACAAGATACTTTTGGTTAAAATAAATCAAATACTTGAGAAAAGACAGAGGTACACTGCATCTAGCAGCGATGATGAGGCTTCACAAAGCTTTGCATATCAGAAACATGTATTAAAAGACATAACTTTGGATTCTCCCCACAGGTCATTCATTGGTCCCAACCTGGGAAGAAGTTTCACAGTGACAAACCACACAATACAACTACAACAATGTCAGACAAGGATGCAGACATCTCTAACTGCTAAAGAGAAGCGTGACAGGCCGCAGTGCATTCTACATTAAATGGCCAGTGTTGTTTTTTGTTTTCGTTTTTGACACTCAGGTGACTTTATAAAGGCAGAAGAACAAATCATTTTGTGAAGAGAATGAACAAACCCCATTTTTGCTTCTACTGCTAATTATGGTTTGGTGGCCCAAAATTTTGGATTATTCAGCTATTTTGGTGAGAATGTAGCACTTTCTCTTTAGAGAAAGGAAGGAAGGCAGGAAGGAAGAGAGAGAGGGAGAGAGGGAGGGAGAGAGGGAGGAAGGAAGGAAAAGAAGGATGGAAGAAAGGAAGGAAGGGAGGAAAGAAGGAAGGAAGGAAAGGAAGAAAAGAAATAGAGGGTAAAAAAAAGAAAGAGAGAGAGAGAGCATGAGAGAGAAAGGGAGGAAGAGAGGAAGGAGAGAGAAGGGATTGTGAGAGAAAAAGAAAGAGAAGGCACTAACCCAATCCAAAACAGCTATATACACCAAGTATTTTTAAGAAAAAATATCGGCCACACTATTATCTCAAATATAAAACTTAAAACTGAAGATGCATAAATCGAAAAAAAATAAGGTACTCTATTTTCCAGAGTATCGATTGGTCACATATTGCATTGAGTTGGGAGCTAACTCTCTCTCACAGTAGAAGGAATCTTTTTTCCCCAATGAAGACTGCAGCAGTGTATAATAGAGCAGTGTTCTCTTACGCCACCATTTCAGCTTCAGAAGTTATGTCTTGTACACGGGCAAATAGAGTAAAATTCCATCGCTTAATATAAGCAAGAGTAAGCTTATGGTTGGCAAGATGCACAAGCTGCAGTTCTGTCTAATTGAAACTGAGTATTGGTTTCAAGTGTCTCTCCTATCAAATACAGTAATGTTAAACACGTTAGATTAAAATGGGTTTCTTCAGGAATGGCAAAACCATTGCTTTTGTCCCACTCCTGGGCCCTGTGAGAGAGGAGGGCTCAGTAACACATGCAATGTCACATAACCACAAAATTCTAGCCCCAAAGAGAGGCCCCAATAAATTAACAGAACAAAATAAAAGCATCCTCCCCAACCCCAGCCACGCCAAATTTGCATATAAACAAAATCCAAAGAATATTTAAAATTCAGTCACTCCTTCAAGGAGAGGGGGATTTCACCCACTGTAGTTCTCCTGAAGTTTTTATTAAATACATTTCTGTTGCCTTAGAAAAATAAAAGGGAGTAGCCAATTTATTAAACCAAAAATTATCTCACAGACTTAAAAGCATGCCCAGCAAGCACAGCCCTGTAAGACTAAATTAATGTCAAATCAAAGCAATCTGATGACTAAAATCAACCTGGTTTCTTGTTGTTCACAGTTGATTACTACAAAGTTTATTCATTCATTTCTTTCTCTTTTTTTTTGTTTTTGTCCTCTTTTTTGGCCCATATAAAAATAACGTATTGCAACTCAAAGTGCATTTTTTTTTAAAATAAACCATCAACTATCTTTATCAAATAAAATATTTACACCATTTGGTTTACAGTGAGGAACACTCTTCAGGCTATAACCATGGGGACGTCATCTGAAAATCCCGTTATCATGGGAGCATCCTCGTCATCATCTCCTAAAGACAAACATAACTGTTGGTAAACTTCTCATACACTGTCACCCCACCCATGGCCCCCTCTCCCTACCACACACACACACACACACACACACACACACACACACACACACACACACACACAGTTCCCTCATCATAAAGGACAAGGCTGCAGCCTCCATGTTATCCAGCACAGCAAACTCTCAGTGTAGCCACATAGAGTTTATAGAATTCTGTAACACAGCCTTGGTTCTGTTTTGCCTCTCAATACCTTGCTGAGTCACATGAAGATCACAGGATCCCTATATAAATTTAGAGCTTGAAAAAAGCCTCAGAGCTAACACATAAGGGAACTGAGATCTAGACACGTCCAGTGCTTGGCATGGTGCCTGGCACATGGTAGGCACTTGATAAATATAAGATGACTGACTGACCCAAGATGTTCTGGAACTTGACTAAGGCCAAATTAGTAGTTAAATAGCAGGATTGGGATTTGAATCCAAGCCCTCTGACACAATACCCAGCATTGTGAGGGCACTAAAGGAGTATAAATTTCTTTTGGTATCAATCGAAGTTTAACAGGATTAGGAAGATAACTTTGTGGGATGAAAAAAAAAATGACCTGGAAGGCATGATGTTTTCACAGGTTTTCTTTGTTACACTGTCCTCCTTCCATTAATCAATCCAGAGTCAATTGCATGGTCTGCCCTCTCTGCTTGGCCCATAGTGCTCTCTTTGCACTGACACAAGTGGGTAAAGACCCATGAGAATAAGGAATATAAATTCCTTGAGAATACAGGCTGTATTTCCTCTGCAGTCCATGACTTGTGTCTTATACAACCAAGAGGCACTCAATGTTTAAGAGAATGGAGCTGAGCTGTAGAGGTACCACTCCTCCCCTAGCAAAACCCCCAAACCCACCCATCTTCCCTTTCCCCACATGGTGGTTTTTCTTTAAGCCAGGTGGACCAAAGAGTTTATCAAACACACAGGGAATTGAGGAAGAGACCAGAGCAGAAGTGGTCTCAGAGTGCAGTTACCACTTAGGAGAGTCACCTCTTGTTCTGCTATTGTTACAAAGCTAATGTGTGATTGATGAAATTACTTTTAGGACTCAGGAGAAGGATCAAGAGAGGAAGGGAACATTTTAGGGGAACAGAACCTGCCCCGCAAAAGCATGACTAAGACCTACATCAAGTCCTCCAAAGTTGCCCCAAGGAGATGAGATTAATGGTATATTACGTGTATGAGTCGGGGTAGTAAGTTATTTTGGGGGGCAGGTTTCCCATAGATTCGGAAGATATTTGGAGAGTTTCTAAGGTCTGATTTTTGCACCCAGAGGAGGCAAGTTCCCAGATAAATGCCACTCCCTCAGAGGTGTGACCAGAATGGCACGGAAGCTGAAGAGGATGCCAGACATGAGTTAACATGGCAAGGATCTTAACCTCAAGCTCAAAGGCACTTCAGAGGCCAACTAGTTCAATATCCTTATTTTACAGGTGAAAAAATTAAGAAGTTAAAGTGACTTGCACAAGGTCACACAGATAGTAAGCGACAAAGGTGGGATCATGACCTAATTTAAATTTAATTTAAACTAATTTAACCCATTCCAATAGTATTATTGGCTAATGAATAACTCACTTTGGCAGTACACAAAATATAGACAAAGGACAGGCCTCAGGGAGCCCTAAAATGAATCACTGGCTTAGAAAATAAGTGGTTTAAAGGAAAACCACCATAACAACCAAGCCATGCTTACCAAGATCATCCCCTGATGAGAAAATGGCTGAACCAAGCCGTGAGCTATAGTGACTGTTGGCAAAGGCAGTGAAGCTATTCTGCAGCCTCCGATGCCGTGTGTATAGGACTACAAACCCTATCCCCACGGTCACCAGAAGCAGGAATAATATAGGAACCACAATGGCAGCCACATCGGTCGATCTTCCAGCCTGGAATGCTGATGCATCCCCACCTGCCAACAGAAGACATCAATAAGGAACATGCAGGGGATGGAGGAGATGACCCCCTCCAGTTTCCTGACTGCCCCAATAGTCCCCTCTCCCTATCTTTTGAGATGTGCAACCCTGAGCAGCCTCCTTGTATGATATGTTCCCACATGACTATTTTTTGATTGCCCGCCATGAGCTGACAGACCATAGGCCTTGAGAATGCAAATATGGTAATTACATTAGACTCTTAATCACTGCCTTGTTGGTTATTTAGATGATCTCTTGGAAGGGAGACCTTTGTTGGGGGTATCAGCATTGATTTCATTAGCATTATTACTCAAGACCACTTGCTTGCCGTGTACAAGAGGATGTGAAACCAGACCACTAATTACTGAGATTGCAATTATTTCCCCGACTTGGCACCCAAGTTGCACTGAACTGCAATTACCTGAAGCTCTGTTAAGTGATATAAAATACTCATTCACTAGAATACTGACTTATCGCCTGTGCTTTTATTTTTTTTTTGCCTTAAAAAAAAAAGAACCCAAACTCTTCTATAAAAATGTTTAAACCATCTATGGGAAAAAAAAATAACAACTTGAAGATAAGATTTAGGCTCTAGACTCTTTTCTCAATGTAAATGGAACTTACACAGATCAAGGGCAAAACATACACATGAAACCTTAACTTAGCCACGATACAGGGACCAATCTTCTGGGGAAAAATGTTAAATAAACCAGGACTTTCTCATCAGAGCCTGTCTCTGGAATGTTGTCACACAAAGCACTTTGATAAATAGTGACTTAACACAAGATGGGGCGTGTGTGATTTTTTTAACCGTTGTTTGGTTGTAATTTACAATGAATCAGGGCCTTCTCACCCACCATGACCTAACTCAGTTATCAGACCACCTACACAGCGAATGGTGAAGAGAAAGGGGAGGGAGCTGGCATAGAAAGAAGTAGTATGTGTGTTTGTGTAGCTGCACAGTTCATACATATCATACCACAATAGCCAGGCAGACAATGCCTGCTGGTTTTCTGTTGTTTCGGACTAACTGTGCTCCTAAATCCTCTGCTCCCGACCTCACCTCCCACAAACCTTCTATTACAAGAGTTGTGTCAGGTGCTGACTCTGATCTTTCTGAGCTGATAGCAAAGTTTAATTACAGCACTAGAAAGGTATATGAGTAAGATTCTATGGAGCAACCTGAAGCCTTCTGAAAACTGCAGGAAGAAACCAGTGATGCTGGTGACTCACCGAACCCTAACTCATCATAGAGAAGTACTGCAGGCTCTCCACAGATCTGGCCACCGATAAGGCATCTTGCTTGTACTGAGAAAGTATAATTGTGGGCCCATCTTCAGATTAGAAATTTTAAAGAAATTGTCGGTGGTGTTCCCAAGGTACGCGGTGATATTCATCACGCTGTCATACATGCGTATCTCATAACCCTAAGAGCAAACATGTAGACGTGAGCACATACCACACACAAAGAATCATACCAAGAATGCTAGAGTGTTAAGGGACCTCAAAGATGTCCTGGTCCAGGGGTGGGGAACCTTTGGCCTCGAGGCCACATGTGGCCTTCTAGGTCCTTGGGTGCAGCCTTTTGACTGAGTCCAAGTTTTACAGACTAAATCCTTTTATTAGGGGGATTTGTTCTGTGAAGTTTGGATTCAGTTAAAGAGCTGCACCCGAGGACTTAGAGGGCCACATGTGGCCTCGAGGCCAAAGGTTCCCCACCCCTGTTCTGGTCCAAACCCATCATTTTTTATAAAGAAGGAAACTGAGGAACAAAGTGATCTGGTCAAAGACAGAGATCAAGTCCGTGGTCAGCTAAACTGGGGATTAGAATTCAGATCTCTTTACTTCTAGCCTAGTGTTCTTAGTGGAAATGCAGTAGCTCAAAAGAAACATGAGATGCACAAATTTAGAGACATCTCCACCTAAATGTTCACATGGATTATTTGTGCTCGACCTGTGGTAGAGATCTCCAAGCTCAGACTGGTCTGATCAGCTAACGTTGGACACATTGTACCTTGACCCCAATATAGCGATGTTATTTTGGTCCTCTTCGAAAACAAAGGTCAACAACCGACCAGTAGGGAAAATGGTCTCATACTTTGGAAGTGGAGACATTAAGATACACAATACAGATCTACGATACAATACAAAGTTATAGTAACACACCAAGAATACACAGTTTCACTGGTGTGGGAATTCCCTTTACCGATGTAAATGTAGTCTGTAGCTGAGCAGGTAAGCCTCAGCAGAGAGGCTGAGCACTCACACAGCCCCTAAGGGTCAGAGTGGGGACTTAAACCCAGGTCTTTGGGACTCCAAGTCTGGAACTCTATCAACTATGCCATATTGCCTCAAACATTTTAAGGTTGCCACATCAAATAACTGACTTTCCTTAGGCCAACCAAATACCTTTAAGTTCAATTTGCTGCCACTTATCTCTGGGAAGAGAAGAGCTGATGAGACAACTGGTTTATAGGGCAAGCTATTCGGCTGACATTGCTGCTTGAGGACAGCTGCTTACATGGCTCTGAGAAAGGTGTAGCTCAGTGGTCTGAGGCAGAATCATTCTCCTTCCAGCTCACAGCGTCTGCCCCAGCCCATCTCCCCCTCTTTTTAAGTGAAGAGTTCAGGATGGAAAAGTGCTTAGTGCAGTGATTTCTATACTTAATGTGCCACATAAACATTTCACTAATTAGCAATCACACAGAAAATGGTCCTTTAATTCTCAAGTTCACTGCCTTGCCCTATTTTTCTGCCCTCCATCTATGCCAAGCATTCTGTTAACGAGCTCGTCTCTGAAAGAGCATTTCAACTGGATTCCCAAAGTCAAAGGAGAAAAAAAAAGACAATGAGAATGAATAAGGCACTTACCCTGCTTTCATTAAAATACTTTTCCTTTAAGGCTAGACTTTTCCAAAAGAGAAGAACGTGGTCATTTTCTGTTATGATTTTTAAGGCATCTGGTGCGGATAATGACACTGAAAATTGAAGAGATGAGGCTCTCCATTAGTGGATATGTACAGGATCTGGGTACCTTTTAGACTATGGGTCTTAGCTGGCTGGTCATTGTACCTCTACCTGAGAAGGACCAAAGGAACAGGGGCATGGAAAGATACCACACTAATGACCAGCACTCAGCTCTTGGTTCTTGATTTTGCTCTGGGTGATCATCCCTCCCCTAGGAGAGCTGGCAACACAGAAAGGAGGAAGTATCTGCTGAATTGGGAGGGACCTGGAGAAGGAACTGCTCCTGATACCTGTGTTCATCCATCTTTCCTGTTGCTCACATTCCCCAAACACACTTGAAGCCCTTTACTCACAGATATCCCTCCTTGCAGCCCAAGAAAACCCTCTCCTGCCTCTGATCCTGGTTCCTGAATCTCATTCTAGGACCTTTTCTCCATATTCCAAATTTCTACTGCAGCACACACACCTCTGCAATTCATTCATTTAGCCCCAACTGCATGCAGAGAATTGTGTTAAGTTTGGGAAGAAAGAGTGGGCCTGGGAAGTGAGGAGAAACACAGAGTAGAGAAAATAAGGTCCCTGCCTTCCTAGAGCTTATAACAAGCATTTAACACAGTTACAAAAAAAATCACACTACAAAAAAATACAGATTAAATCCAGCAGAAAGGTGAGGTCCTATAGAGGAAAGACTCCACTACAGGGGTAGGGAAGGACATTGCATGCACAGCATACAGCATGGATAGAAACAAGGAAATAAAAAAATACAGAACATGCACAAGGGATAGGAGATTGTTCAGTCCAGTTAAGCTGAGGAGCATTTAGAGAACAGCAGTGTAAAGATAAGGCTGGAAAGGTAGGACAGTTGCAAACTGTGGAGGGCTTTGGATGCCAGATTAAGCAGATCAAACTTGATTTGGTGGACAGAATTTGATAGACTTTGAGCAGAAGAGTGAATGACACGAAGAGATATTCATACAGAATCAACCAACCAACAAGAATTTATTAAGTACTTACTTTATATTAGGCACTGGGCTAAGCAAGCCATGACAAAACTGAAACAATGCTGCCCTCGAGGAGCTAACGTTGTAACTAGGGAGAGGACATATATAAGTACATACATGACATACACATATACATATATGTTAAATGTGTGATAGATTATCTAGATATACATGTAATATAAGATGTATGTATGTGCATACATACATACATACATGTTATATGAAATATATATTCACTATTTAGAGACATACATATATGTGTATATATAATATATATATATATGTAAAATTATAATCCAGTATATGTGTATGTATGTGTATACACATACATATACACCCAAAAAAAAGGTAGTTTTAGGAGAGAGTATACTAGCAACCAGGAGGATAACAGCTAGCATTTCTATAACATGATCAATCTCAGTTGATCCTCATGAGATAGGGGGTATTATCATTTTACAGATGAGGAAACTGAGGCAGATAGCAGGTAAGTGACTTGGCTAGGGTCACACTTTAGTTGAGAATCTGAAACAGGATATGAATTCAGTTCTTCTGACTCCAACTCCGGGACTCTATGCATTATGCCTAGGTTACCTAGCTGTCTTGTCGGTAAAGGTTTTCACATAAAAGGTGACCCTTGGGCAGATCCTCAAAGCTAAAAAGCGGGAATGAGGAAGGATTGTATTCTAGGCATGAGGGATAGCCAGTTCAAGGTAATGGAGATGGGAAATAAGAGTGTCATGGGAAGAAATTCAACTAGTCCAAGAACAGAAGGAAGTAAGAAGACTGGAAAGGTAGAAGGGACCAGGTTGTAAAGAGATTTCTATGTCCAACAGATGCATTTACATTTTGTCTTAGGGTCACTGGGAGTCACTGCAGTTTGCTAAGAGAGAGAGGATGGCATGATCAAATCTGAGACAAGTCTTTAGGAAAATCATTTTGGTGGCTGTGTGGAGTACAGATTGGAATGGGAAGAGGCTTGAGGCAGGAAGTACAATTAGAAGGCCGTTGCAAGAGTCCTGCCAAGAGGTGATGATGGTAGCTGTATGAGCAGGAAGGTGAAGACATATGCAAGAGATAATGCAGGAACAGAAATGATAAGATTTAACAACTGACTGAATATGTGAGATGAATAAGGAGTCAAGGATGATACGTAGATTAATTTGGCAGTAGTATATAACATGGATTGGAAGGAGGTGAGGGGAGAGACAAGAAGACCTGCAAGGGTACAAATCGGTGGCTAACAATGAAAACCTGGAAGAGTTCCACTGATGGGGAAAACCATTCAACCTTAATCTCTGCAGTATACTCACAGCGGAATCATCACACCCCCCCATACCCACCACTCCACAAGTCAGGGAGACAGGTGGGAACAGGCACGAAAGAGCTGACTATATCTCCCATGGAACTGTGGACAAATTATAATTCTGGTGCCCTTTCAGCAATATTGTGAAACGTTTGCAAAAGGGGAGCGCTCCTATCTTCACGACCCTTGAGGACTCCCACCATTTTAAAGCTTTGGGGAGCAGCAGAATGACAATGATTCAGTTGAGTTTAATGTACCTAATCCCTCCCCCTTCTCCAAAACTGTGCTCTTCCCTTTTCCAACTTGCTATTACACTCATTTCCCTGTGGGACAAAGCTGGACAGAGAAGTCACAGATTTGGTAGACTCAGGCTTTAAAAGACTTCATGCCCAAGCAGCTGCTTTGTGTTAACTCTGGAGCTATCTTTCAAATCTAGTTGGCATCCAGATAATGCAGAACCCCCTCTTGCTTACCTGTATTAATTTTCACAGTAGCTTCTTTGCTCATGTTTCCAAGTTGCACAATGACATGGTATTTTCCACCAGGTTCCAATTTGGTAATCGGGTATTCCACCGTGCTATTCCGGGATTTCACTTTGTAATTCCTGTCAGTCTTTCGGATTAAATCTCTAACTGCCACAGCATATAACTGGAGGGGTAGAGAACCACATTGATGCATATCAGCTATTTTGCAATGTTCTTTGTCCTTTCTGGATGTATGACAGATGATGTAACATGGGTATATTTAGCCATGGTGACCCCAGGCAACAGCATTCTGAACTACAGTACCCAGCTGCATCCTCTGAGGACCCATGGGGCCCAAGTAGGTCTCAACCTCATTACGAGAATTTATTAGTAGAACTTTGCCTGAAACCATCAAATATATACCAAGACCCTACTCATGACTCCAGGGGAGATGGCATTTATCAAGACACCAGCAGAACGGAACAGGGAAGAAAAACATGAACTCAGGATTTAGTTCCCCTTGAAACAATAATAGCCAGAGAGTGTGGCTAGGGAGGAAAAAGAGGAAAATTACCCAGTTTTGGGGATCTGTACATTTGGTTGAGGCTCAATGCCAGATCTAAGTAAATAACAATTTATACTTCCAATCTGACTGATGTTACATATGTGACATGGAGGCAAAGAAAGAATGAAAGGAAAGAACAATATTCATAATGGAAACACAAATCAGGAAGGAGGGAAGGTCAGCATGCACTGGTATCATCCCTTCAATAAATCACCCAAGGAGAAGCCCATTTAAAAAGCAACCAGTTCCAGACAGTGAAAGAGGACCCTTCCTCTAATTAGGGGAAGAAGAAGGCACAGAAGCTACATTTAGCTCCCTAGAAACTGATTCAATACTTTAGTTATCAGTGGTTCTGTTCTTAGTGAGTTAAAGGTCTGGTTCAGTCGTTCACTCGTGTCTGACTCCTTGTGATCCCACGGATCATAGCACACCAGGCTCTTCTGTCTTCTACTATCTCCCAAAAAATGTGAGGCAGAGGCAAATACATAAGGGGTCTTGACAGGAGAACAAGGAAACTCACTCGTCTGCACGGCCCTGATAAGGACCCTGCTTTTGGTCAGGCAGCTAGAACGAAAAGCACAACCAAATAAGAAACCACAGCACTTGGGCCAATGGACAACTGGTGCTGACAGAGAACAGTTTTGGGGGCTAAGACTCAGATAGGAATCAGACGCCTTGTTGCATGTATGTCCTATCCCGAAGTGGTTCCTCTCAGAGAAGCACCTCAACCTCGCACTGGTTTAGCTTGGGCTGTAGAGAGAAGGGATATACTATTGAGCTGTCAACCACAAAGTCTTCGTCCAGATATCCTTTCCTCCTCAATGATGCTGTTGAGCTACTGTATCCCTAGCCACTCTAGACACCCCTGAGGCCACAAGGCTGGGGGCAGATAGCTGGCCGGCTCACCATATCCTGGTCGGGAGAGTCATATGGCGATTCCCATTTGATGACAGCCGAGGTCTTGCCAACGTCCACTGCATGAAGGTGTCGAGGAGGGAGCCTGTTGTCTGGGATCATCTTCACCACAATGTAGTCAGAAGGCGGGCCTTGGTATGGGGCTATCACCCGAACCTGGAGCCAAACACACCCACCCCAAACATGACATGATTACAAATGTTGCTATTCCAGGCCCTCTGATGAGATTGGTGAGTTTCACAGAAAATGGCTCAGGGAAGCTCAATATCCCAGAGAGAGCAGCAAAGGCTGTCTCCCCATTATCCAGATGGGCAAACTGAGGATAAGTAATTTGTCTGGAAGTCACAAAGCTGCACTGTGGAGAGAAGCATCCAGGTCTCCAACTCCTCTTGGTCAGCAGCTAATTAATTCAGCCACTTAGATGCGCTTTAAAAGAAGGAAGTTGTGGGGCTAAGAGAAACATACCAGAAATAAGTACTGTTCATCTCTGTTGACAATGACTGTGGCATTGTGGAATGAGGTAGTCAGGTTCTTTGGGTTTCGGTAGAGGTCAAGAAAGGATGTGGCGTAGAAAACCCCATACACCTGGTAGAAGCCAGAGAACAAGACAGATGATTACTTCCTCATGCTAAAAGAAGCAGTCTCCTTTTCCTCACATACTGTGTTTAGAAATTTGGAAACCAAATGACCCAGAAGGAGCCCATTAACCCCTAATAAGATTGCCATGTAGTCTTTTAAAAATAATATTTTAATTTTCCCCAAATTACATGTAAAACAATTTTTAACATTCATTTCTTTTTTTAAAATGAGTTACAAATTCTATCCTTCTGTCCCCTCCCCTCTCTCTGAGATGGTAAGCAATCCGATATAGACCATACATGTGCAACCAGGTAAAACATATTCCCATATTAGTCATTTTGTGGAAGGAAGGGAGGGAGGAAGAAAGGCAGGAAGGCAGGAAGGAAAGAGGGTAAAAATAGCATGCATCAGTCTGTATGAAGACACCATCAGTTCTTTCTCTGGAGGCAGATAACATTTTTCATCATGAGTTCTTTGGGATTGTCTTGGATCATTTTATTGTCGAGAATAGCCAAGTCATTCACAGGTGCTCATCATATAATAGGCTGTTACTATGTACAATGTTCTCCTGGTTCTGCTCATTTCACGGTTATCAGTTCATGTAAGTCTTTCCAGGTTTTTCTAACATATAGTCATAAAGCATTTTTTCATTCACTCACTCTCATCTCCCAGAGGAGGCAAGAGAGGGAAAGGAATTAATTACTTTTCCCATTTTACTGCAGAGGCACACAGAGAGAACAGGGAACTTGTACCAGCTCCCACAGCCCTGATATGGATCTTAGAACTCAGCACTTCTGGTTCCTGGCCCTGTTGTTTCCTGCCAAGTGGTGAGTTGGAGGTCCTTCCAATATGACAAGGTGAATATTAGCAAATAATTTTCTTCAAAGGTATATACGGAAAGAAGGCACAGAGACCATTCTAGCTTTCCCTACCATCGAGAAAAGTGCTCTCTACCTCACTGCAGTACTCAGTATTGTTGTCAGATTCCAGAAAACACCCACAGCACAAGGTAAAATCCTAAGAATAAAGTTCTCCAACGTTCTAGCACATAGGACCTAATGTGACACCACTGTGAGGAAGCTTTTCACTTATGTTCACGGGGTTGGAGCCCAGGCCATGGTATGGCAAGGCTTCCTGGGAAAGAGTAAAAACTTATCACTTGCTGGGAGAGAGAAGGCAATGCTACTCCAAAGGTCATATACCAAGTAATCTAAAGGAAAACCTAGCTTCTTAAATGGTTTCAGGGAAGGTAAAACAGTAGTAGTTTGAACCCTCCCAATTCTGCCCACTGACCTGAACCTAGTCAGTATTTGTGAAGGTTCTCCTACTGACTCACCACGTTCCTTGGCCCAGTCCAGGTGCACTCTACCGAGGTCTGATTGACGGCTTTGGCTTTGAGGCTAGGAGAGGGTGGACGAGTGCCTCTGGTCATCACGTGCTCAAAAGCCAGAGGACTGTCACCCAGGTCTGTCTTTGCCCAGGCAGAAATCTCATAGGAGGTATGGGCAGTTAGATTGTTCACTAGGGAGAAGCCAAGAGGCAGACAAAGAAAATTAGATTATAGTTTGTATCTTGATATGCAGACTCACTACCACAGTTATAGTGTTTTCTCACATACTGTGAGATTTTCACCAAGTTATCCATTCAACATCATCTCTGACAACACCTGATTCTTTACAGTAGTATTAAGATACTCCTCAGAAGCAACATGATAGAGAGGCCAGAGGACCTCAGAATCAGGAAGACTTAAGTTCAAATCCTACTTCTGATATTTATTAGCTGAGTGACCCTGGGTAAGTCCATTAACCTCTTTGTGTTTCAGGCAATTCCACGGGACCCAACTACCAAGCAAAACCCTAATACGTGGGTTTGATCAACACCCTTACAGGTAGTGTTCACATTAAAGAGATCATATACTCCTTGAAGTAACAATGGAGGAACAGTCTAGGGTAGGCTTTTTCCTTGGCCTCTTATTTTGTCCCCCTTCTTTTTAACTTAGACTTGGTAGAGGAAGACAAGACCCATGCTCAAATGATAACAGTGGAGTCTGCTTCATTTGTTCACATACTAAACCAGCATTTATTAAGTGCCCATGTGCAAAATGTTGTGCTAGGCTTCGGGGAGGTATAATAATAACAATAATGAAGCCATAGTCTCTGCCATCAAGAAGAGTGAAGTAAGATTAATCACACCTTTTCAGATTCTTATTTCCCTAGACATTTAGTATTATCACAGTTATCTTTCCCCAGCTGATAAATGGTCAAAGGATAAGAACAGACAGTTCTCAGGAAGAAATCCAAGCTAACAAAGCTAACAACAGCTACATGAAAAAAATACTCCAAATCACTAATAATTGGTGAAATGAAAATTAAAGCAACTCTGAAGTTCTCCCTCATGCACCCATTACACATTGGCAAGTATGATAAAAAAGAAAAATGACTAATGTTTGAGGGGCTGTGGAAAAATGGGCATATAAATTTACTGTTGGAAGATCTGTGATTTGGTACCGGCATTCTGAAAAGCAATTTGGAACTAAACCCAAAGAGTCAAGAAACTGCATGCTCTTTGATCCAGTAATTCTACTACTGGGTCTATTCCTTAAAGAGATAAAAAAAAATAGGAAAAGGACCCATATACACAAAAAAATACACTGCAACTCCTTTTGTAACATGGCAAAAAATTGGAAATTAAAAGGGGTGCCTATCAATCGGGAAATGGCTGAACAAATCACGATATATCAACATAATAGAATATTATCATACTATAAGACATGATGAAAGGGTTCAGAAGAACTTGGGAGGACTTTATGAACTGATGCAGAGTGAAATGGGTAGAACCAAACAATTTATATAGTAACAACACTGCAAAGACAAATAACTTTGAAGGACTTGAGAACTCTGTTCAGTACAATGATCAATCACTCACAATTAGAGAGGATGGATGATGTTACTTCCTGACACAGAGGTGATGGACTCAAGATGAAGAATGAGCTATATATAGTTTTGGACATGGTAAATATGGAAATGTTTCCTTGACTATGAATATTTGTTATAATAACTTTTTTTCTTTTTTAAATGGGGGGAGGTTAGGAGAGAAAATAAATTTTTGTTAATTAAAAAAAAAGAACCACAAGAACTTAGAATTAAAAGTAATCCTAGATATCATCTAATCTAGCCCCATACCAAATCCTACCATCTATCTAAAATATCCCTAGGAAATGGTTAGCCAGCCTCTACCTGAAGACATCCCATGATTGGAGCTCAGTACCTCCCTGAGTTAGCCCATTATAATTTCAGCTGAAATTATTAGAGATTTTCTTCTAAGGCCAAGCAAAACAAATCTAATCCTTTTTTCAAACAAGTTTTTCTAAAACTTGAAGATAAGTATCATCTGTCCTCCAACTCTTTTCTAGGGTGAACATCCCTAATTATTTTAGCCAATCCTCTTTAGGAATGGTTACCAGCTTCCTCACCATTTTAGCCTCCCTTCTAGGGACATGAGCTTGTTAATCTCTTGGCTAAAAAATGTGGTGCTGAACACAATAGTAGAGACATGGTCTGACCAGGGAAGACTAAAATACACTATAATGGGATTATCAGTTCCCTCATTCTGAATACTCTGGGTCTATTCAGCCTAAAATCGAATTATCAGTATCATCCTAGGATCTGGGGCAGGAGCTGTGGATAAAGAGATGAACGGGGCCTAGGGAAAAGAGGAGAAAGTAGGACCATGAATTCTGGGAACACTGAAGTGACCTGAATGTCCCAATTCCCAATGGTAGGAAAGATGTTTACAGGGATTGGCTTTTTACTTCCCTCTTCCTAATCTTGCTAGGCCTGGAATGGAAGTAAGAGTAGGAACAGAGTGGTAGAAAGGGGACCAAACAGCCCCACTAGCATCTTGTTAAAATAGGAGAGGAAACAGGGGGCTAAAATCCTTAGAAGAAGAATCTAAGAAAGAAAGGCAACTCCAACTGTCGCCATTCTGACTGGCCATTAAAATGGCCAGGCTGGAAAACTGTAGAGGGATTGGGAAAGGGCTATCTCTTGGAAACAAGGGCAGAGTGACCCAGAGCAAAGCACTGTTCAGAGCAGAAGTGACTTCCATACTGTTGGAGGCTTACTACTTATTTGGGGTCCTTTGGACTGGATGACCTTTAAGGTCTTATCTAATCCTAAGATTCTATGTTTCTAAATGACAGCTGCCAACTAGACACTGAGGGAAGAGTCAGAAAACACACACACACAGACACCATAAAAATCAGACACATAACCACATTACTTTACAGTAAAGGAATAGTTAAAAAAAATTTTAATAGCTTTGGCACTTGGCTTCCATAATTTGGGAAATCCATTTATGAGACTACATCCTTAGCTAACAATGCAAGATAAGTGAGGGATTACTTTGGAGAGCTGTGAAAGAAAGGGGCTACCCATGTCAGTCTTTCACATTCCAAAGGCGGCCTCCCTCATAGAAAGTGCTATCTTAGGCAAAAGGGAAAGCTTAGCTATGATCTGGTAGCCTCTACTTAGTGCATTTTCATATCAAAAGCTTCATATTTTCAGGATTGAGTGAGAGCACCAATAAAGATTTTTTTTTTCTTCAGAGATAAAGAGTTATGCCACTTTGGCTGGTCAATATGATATACCAAACCTGGAATCTAAGTATCAATTTCAGAGAAAGAAGCTTATAGGTAATAGTTTTCCTTCAGTCTCCAATCTTCTAACAGAAACAGAATCTCAGGTCTATAAGAGACTCTGAGAGGTCATCTGGTCCACGACTCTGCCTTCAAAGGAGATAATATTTGTAATGTGCCTAGCACAACACATGGCACATAGCAGACCTGAATTACTCAATCCATCTATACTTCCTTCCTTCCTTCCTTCCTCCCTAGCGAAAGGCATTCACTAACTAGTTCCAACACTGAAAAACCTGCCTTGCTTGGAAATAAATACCTCATCTAACCTTGATTCCACCTGCTACGTCCACTAGCTGCCACATTTTACCTTTGTATGATGTTATCTCTCCATGTAGGAATAAAGTTCTTGTCTCTTGTCTATGAGTGTCGAAGGCCCAGAAGACGTTCACCACGTAGCCATTGACCTGACAAACACCAAGAGACAAGAGTTATCATGGAGGCCATTTCGGGCTTCTTGATGGTAGGTACTGTGATTTTCTTCAATACTGGAGAGATTCAAATCAGCATGACCGAAACCAAACCAAACCAAGACTCATCTACTGCTTCCATTTTAATGAAATTTCATGCTAATTAATTCATCAATCGATGTTTATTAAACACCTACTCTGTGCCAGGTAATGAAGACAGAAAGACAAAAAGAGAACATACAAGTATATTGGCACATTTAGGTATATTCAGAATAAATACAAGGCATTTTTTTTTTAATTTTGGAATGGAGAGGAAGCCCTAACAACTGGGAGGATCAGGAAAGGCCTTCTGATAATGTGGAAGGTGAGACCTGAGCCAAGCTTGAAAGATGCTAGGGATGCTTAAGAAGTAGAGGTGAGGAAGGAGTGAATTCCAGACTAATGGGGTTAGGTGGGGGGAGAGGGACAGCTAGCACCAAGGCATGTTACGCTATAAAGGGGCACTTCATTGTGAAGAAAACAAGCAAACGGCACTAGGGTTTTTTTTTGTGTGTGCTTGTTTGGTTTTTTTAGGGCGGTAGGTGCTTTTGGTCTATGAAGTCTGGCCTGTGTTCCCATGTGGTCTGCAAACTTTTGTTCCTGTCATCCCTCCTGGGGCAGAGATGGACATAAAGGATGTGAAACAAAAATGAAAACCTGGGGTACCACCCCACCAGCCCCAAACCGCAGAGGCTTTGTTACAGAAATAAGAGTGAAAGGGCATGTAACCATCTAATATACTCCCTTGATTTTACAGGTGAGGAAACTGAGGCCCAGAAGAGGGAAGTCACTTCCTCAAGAACACACACACCAAGGCAAAGTCAGGGCTGAGACTAGAATCTAAGTCTCTGTAGTTCTAACAGTCAATATATTCCAAATAGTTAAGAGCTAGAATTACAATAGATTGCCTTAAGCCTCTCCATCACTGGAGGGTCCTGCCTCTACTCTGAGGGCAGCCCCCCCCCCTTTATTCATTCTTATTGGTTCACGTTCAGTGAGGAGCAGAAGAGCCCATTCTGACCTTCTAAAGGACATTCAAAGGTATGTCTCTGGTTACTCCTTGAGGTCTATATGGAAAGTGGGAACTAGGGCATGGAAGAGTCTGTGGGGCTGAGGTGGGGGGTAGAAAGTGAGGAGGGGAGAAGGGAAAATACATGGAATCTGTTTTTCCCTGGGAAAGTATCAGAACCTCTCCCCACAAAGGCTCTTCTTCCAGTGTGAGAAACACTGCATTAGCTCGTAGCACCAGGAAATCCAATAAAGCTGAAAATTACAGGGCACACACTCTCTGTTAACACCAAGCCTTTATTTGCACTGTAGCTGTGAACCATTTAATTACATGGTTTAAAAAAAAAAAAAGAAAGCACCAGGCTGAGGCAGGATAATTATACATGAAGATCCAAGTAATTCTTTTGCTTTGGGGTGAGGAATGTTGGGGGGAGGAGGGGGAGAGCTGGGAGAGGTGAAAAGAAGGAAGCCAACCTGGTTAGGATATTACTACATCACCAGAATCCTTCATTTCTCTTGATCCAACTGAAACTGTGACATATTGGTTCTCACGTTGGGTGAAGTCTATCACTCAAGCCACCTGAGTCAGCTCCTTGGGAATGAGCTGTCTCCCTGCTTTCCACCTGCCCCACTCACTACCAACCGCTGAGTACGAATTTCAGTATTACCTTAAAGTTGCTATCCATTACTAGGGTGAGACTGAGAGAATTTTCACTGTAGCTCTCAATGTGGATAGTTGGTGGTGGGATCACTGAAAACAGAAAAGAATTCAAAATGAGAATCCCAAGGAAGGAAAATGAGACAGCCAGCAACTTTGATGAACCTTACTCATTTCCTCTTCTATGGACAAAGTGATCTTTCAGTCTGGGCATGCAGGGGATTTCCTTTGCCTGATTTTGCCCACCTGTCACATCTCACTCAGGTTCAGTCACCTAAGCCACCCTGGGAATTAGTCTGCACTACATGCCATTCTTTTCTTCTTTTTAAAGAGGCGTTTTCCTAACAATAATTACCACAGCCCAGTTTCCAAAGGCTCTGCAATCACGGTGGGTGTCCTCCCGCTAGCGAAACCCCAATTTCTATTATACCAATTCACATTTATTTAACACTTCACATTTCTAAAACAGTTTTACATCCCTTTAGGAGGCTGTATGCTAAGGTGGTTGTTTGGTTTCAGTCATGTCTGACTCTCTACGACCCCATTGGGAGTTTTCTTGACAAAGATACTAGAGTGCTTTGCCATTTCCTTCTCCAGTTCATTTTACAGATGAGGAAACTGAGGCAAACAGGGTGAAGTGACTTGGCCAGGGTCACACAGCTAGTAAGTGTCTGAAGCCAGATTTAAACTCAGGTCTTCTTGACTCCAGGGCCGGTACTCTATCCACTATGCCACCCAGCTGTCCTTTGAATGCTAAGATAGAAAACTACTTCTCTCTAAAGAGATTCAAATCCCATCTCTGATCTTTACTATGTGTATGGTTTATAGGTAAATAACAACTCTGTGGGCCTCAGTTTCCTCCTCATCTGTAAAATGAGTGGGTTTGCCTAGATGGCCTCTGATCTATGATGCTTAGGTCATTTGTTCCTTACAAAAATATTATATGGCAGGTGGTGCACATATTACCCCCATGAGGATGAGATTTATTTAGATGAGGAACTTTAGGCTCAGGGACTTGCCCAAGGTCTCACAGCTAGTGATGGGGCTGGAACCTAAAAATTTTCTGACACTGGGGTCCAGTGCTTTTTAAGCTATCCCACAATGACACTCCCATTCTATAACATAGCAGATTCTGAACCGCTATACAATCTGACATCTGGAAGTATCTGAGTATAAATCTCATACCAAAGCTAAGAGCCAAGGCGGATGAGAACAGGAAAAATGATGGATAGCTCTCCACTTGAATGTACAGAGAGCACACTTATCATCATCAACACATGTCTGTAAGAAAGGGGATATCCTCTCAGGTCCCCTTCAACATGGAGACTATTTGATCTGCAACATCTTCACCATATTTTCACAAGAAAAAATTCCTTTAAGAGACATCAACAATTGGTCATCCACCTGTTCCTTGAAAAACATTTAGCGAGGGAGAACTCAGTACTTCTAGGGGCAGTAATCCCACTTTTGGATAACTCTTATTGCTAGAAAGCTTCCCCACCCTCCACCCTCACAATCAAACCTAAATCTGCTTCTATGCAGCTTCTACCTATTTGTCAAAATTTTGCCACAGGGTCAAGAGGAATAAGTCCAATCCTGTATCCACATGACAGACCTTCAGATACATAAAGACAGCTATTTTGCTCACTGCATTAAAGACTCTCAGTTCATTCCTCTTGTCCTTGTATGATATAAACTTGAGACCCCTGATGATCTTGGCTGCCCTCCTTTGCACACTTCTCCAGCTGATTAATGACCTTCCTGATAGAACCTGAGTTTACATTTCTGCTCTGCTACTTATTACACGAGACTTTGGGCAAGTCATTTATCCTATCTAGCCTTCAGGTTCTTTATTTGTAAGCAAAGGGATCTGATAAAATAAATCTCCAAGGTCCCTTCCAGCTAAATCAACCAATAAGTATTTATTAAGCAACATGTGCCATGCATGGTGATATGAGCCTGTAATTAGCTAAGATAGAAAAATGGGGTCTGGTAGGGCTCCAGGACAGTCTAGAATTAATCTATGTGGAAAAAAAGGTATCCATATTATAACTAAGAAAAGGACATGATTATCACTGACTAATGACTAAAAGTTCTTAGCCACAGTGAAGTCCATGGACCCCTTTTCAGAATAATGTTTTTAAATAACTGAAGGAAATGTTTCACTTCAGTCAGAGGTTGGTGAAAATAAAGATTCCCTTCTCCCCCATCGCAGTTCACAGACCCCCTACAATCTACTTGTGGATAGATCTGTCCATCCATGGATTATGAACACAGGATGGCTGATGCAGGCCAAGTTTACTTTTCCTATACCTGCTCCTAAGGACAGAAGATCATTCAAGATCAGTCACAGATAGATCTAGAGCTAAAAGAGACCTCAGAGGCTGTCTAAGCCCAAACTCATCATTTTATAAATGGAGAAACCAAGGCCCACGGAGGTTGAATGAGTCATCCGGTCACACTGGTAGTAACCATCACAGATGGAATTTGAACATAGTTCCTCTGACTGCACAGACAGTGCCCCTTCCATTGAAATACGATGCGGCCTAAAATACATGACATCTCCAAGGACCTGGATACGCCCAGAGCACAAGTCATATGAACACCACCGTCTTTTTTCAATATGTCCCTTTTTTGTTGTTTTGAAAGACTGGGTCTCCTTATTTCACCCAAGCTAGAATTTAGAAGCTTTTCACAAATCCAGTCCCTCTACTGATTGGCACAACAGCTCTGACTTGCTCCATTTCTGTGCTGACCTCACCTTTTTTTAGGCCATCTGGTGGTCCCCACTCCTGCAGGTTCACCACACTAATACCAAACTTAGTGTAGGTACCCCATCAGCATAGCTCACTACAGGTCAGAATTTCTGAGCTCAAGAAATCCATCAGCTTCAGCCTCCCCAATGGCTGGCTCAACACCATGTCACTTTTTAATGCAATATAAAGGTGTCTTCTGTACATGCTGTATATGGTTCATCTGTGTGTGTGCAGCTGGGCTTCAGCACCACCATATGAGATAAGTTTAATAAATAAATAAAAAGTTTAATTATAACAATGGCTTAGGATTTTAAAATGTGGGGCTGGTTATCCTTTATCTAAGAATTCTGCCCAACCCTTTATGGGTTCCCTAAATTTGTCTGCCTTATTAAAACCTATTTTTAATATCAATCAATGACTCTAGATTTTAGTAGGGGGCCAGGTGCCCCAAAGGCATAGCTAGAAACCTTTTTCTCACTGGCCTCAGGTTTCAAGGCAGATACCTCCAACCACAAGAGAATTTCTTCTCTGATTTCCAAAGCCACAGATCCAAAGGGGTTCTAAGGTGAAAATCAGGAACTCACTTAGAAAACTGTTTGCTAGAGAGAACTTTCATTTCAACCCTTATTTAGCTCACAGGACCATGGGCCAGTGACCTATGGTGTACATGGCACTGAACTAGGCCTAATGGTGACTTCTGGCTGTCAGCGCCGGACACAATCACCGCCAGCCCCAGCATTATCGGGATACCGTGACAAATTTTTTTGAGGGTGAATATTTATTTGTGAACTGTAAAACAGAGCAGCTAAAATACTCACCATTTCACAAACATATAAAATTTTAGGAGGAAGAGTAGTACAGTACTGGTCCTGGGTGGCTAAGCTGTAGCCTGACTAGAGATAAGGTGATATCTATCTATCTATCTATCTTTCTATCTGTCTGTCTGTCTATATAAGAGGTTACTGATAGGTCCCTGTGTATCTTTGGATTATATGAAATGTTCCATCAAAAAAAAAAAGAAAAAGAAAAAATTATCAGGAACTAGAGACATATTCAAACCATTACCCCAAAGAAAATATTTATAAATCATCATGAATAAGCCCAGGAAAAAGCCAGAGAGAAGATTCTAATCTGTTTCTTCATCTCCAGGCCCATTTCAAAAGGGTAACTACCTTTACCACATCTGTAGGCACTGAGATCATTTACCTTTCCCTTTTATGGTGGTGATAGATTTTGAATCGCTCCAGTTTCCTATTCCTCGACTGGTAACCGCAGCGACCTTTGAAAATTAAAGTGAGTTAGTATGAAATAAGAGCAATGCACCAGAAGTCAAGGATGCCCAGTGAGCCACAAGGTTAAGAAGTAACATAAGGGCGCCATTCCTCTGAGGACAAACAAATGAAATGGGGATAAAGAAGCAGTGCCCTGTCAGAGGCACTGAAGGGACTGTCAGAGCCATGAGAAAATGGAATCCCACTGATCGGTGCAACCTAAGGTCTTTCTAGAGAGTATTTATGGACAGCTACAGAAAAAAGGCCACAAAAAGACTCAGCGTTATGGAGTCATTGGTCTGTGCACACGGATGAACTCACATTATTAATACTTTGTGCAAATATGCCCTCTCTTCTTTAAGGTCATCAAAACACCCAAGTCTGTTTATAAATGTAATATGACACAGATGCCCCTCACCCAGTGGTGGAAGATGAGAAGGGGGAATAACATGGAATGCACATGAGTCTGGGAGCTAAAAAGATATTCTGGTTAAACTCTGGAAATACAAGTCAATGCAGTTTCCCAAGGTAAAACCTGCTTTTGACTTCTCAGTAGCCTTGTCACGTCTTCTGTTGGTACAAATCTGAAGGTTGGGAAAGCTGGACAATTTTCTAGCTTATTCTAAAGTGCTAAAATGGATGGGTTATTTTAATTGACATAGGGAAACCTAGGTTCAAATCCCATAACTCGGGTATTTATTACCTGGACAAGCCTAGGCAAGTCTCTTTACCCCTATGGGCTTCAGTTTCTTCACCTGCAAAATAAGGGAACTGGACTCAACAGCTTCTGTGGGCTCTTCTGGCTTTAGAGCTAGGATCCAGGTTTTTATGATTTTTTTCTGGAGGCTTATGTGTTCCCACAGAAGATACACATTCAAACTTTATTGGAAGAATTAAAAAGTATCCCAGTGCTTTTTGATTATAAAGCATTCTGGATCATCCATCCACCACAGTGACTTCCTTACAGCAGATAAATGAGAGGTGACTATCAAAACAGCCAAATCACTAAGATTGGGCCATGGAGTCTCCTCCTGCCACCATGGTGAAAACAAATGCTCCCCCTGGTCCTAATGATGCTCTGTGAGTGAGGAGAGATGACAGAATGCACCCTTGGCTGTGGTGAAAAGACCAGAGCACTTTGCCATCTAACTTGCCTTGTTATAGCTCTCCATTCTCCCAATGACTGTCATAACAGCAAGAGCTGGGCTCCATGTTATTCCTGATTGGGGATGGGGGTGGGGAGGCAGGAAAAGCCTACAACATTTACATTTTAGAGCCTAGGCTTTCTTAAGATTTTGAAAACACATCTTAAGGTTTCTCCAAAAGGAAAGTAAACCTCTGGGCAATAGGTTGGGCACTTTGTAGGTCACTAATGTGGCTACGATAAAGGCAACAGCAAGGTACTCAAAAAGTGGCAGTAACATTGATAGGTTCTGAAAATTTTAAAACAGGCATTAAAAATAAAAACAGCTGGCCTTTACACAGATAGCAGCTTGAGGCTTGCAAAACACACTACACACATCTTACTTGGTCCTCTAAACAGTGCTGTGAGGTAGGTGCTATTATTATCCCCATTTTACAGATGAAGCAACAGACCCCAAGAGTCCTAAATGTCAGAAGTGGGATGTGAAACCCATTTTCTCTAAGCCCAGTCTTCTTTCTACTATATCATGCCACCGCGTCATTTATCAACTCACTCTCAGGGTATATAAAGTGTTGACCAACAAATTTTTTATTTCGGTGTAGTTACTAGGTGCTCTCTGGGAGGCCCACATCTTGGTACCACTTCTACCATATTCCACCTAAGGTCAAGAGAGAAAGAAAAAAATAACATACAGTCAGGAAAAAAGATGCTCAGAGGTAAAAAGACTGGCTCATTCTAAACAGGTAGGTACAGGAGAAGAGGAGGAATGAAATAATCTCAGGAATTGGTAAGAGGGATTCCTGGTCATAAAGATTTTCCTTCTGCCCCAGCATGCCCAGAAGCCTACGGCACAGGACAGAGGAGTACCTAGCAGATACTCACAATGTATTCTCGGACAAGTCCATGGGTATTGGCAGGGGGTGCCCAGTAACCCACTATCACACCCTCAAATTCCTTGTGAAGCGATAATTGGAGATTGCGAGGAGCATCTGGAACTGGTAAAGAGATGGGTCTGCATTAAAACCAACTCGTACACTAGAGAGCTAGAGGGGATTTACTGGCCTAAGAGTCCACCTGATGCTGCCACTGTCCATAGAAAACTTAGCTGTTACAACAGTTATTCCCCTTCTTCTGTCCCAAATTCAAATTACTTTACTATGCCCCTACTTAGAATATGCTTTAGAATTAAAGGTCTTGGAGGGTGAAAGACCATATGCTTCTTAGAGATTTAGAGACAAAGTAGTCATCTGTACATTTATTTTAACAAGGCTGCCTTGCTCAGAACCTCTTAGAATTCCCCATTTGTAACTGCCTGCAAAGTCAACCCAGGAGCCACATGTGAAAGCCTATTTTCTTTCTCACCTTGTACCAAAAATAATCTGCAGCTTGACGTGTTACCTTATTTCTCTAGGCTTGATTCTAAATGACTTTTGGCTTGTTTCAAAATATCTAACCTATACTTGGAAAGTAAAGGTGTGCCCTCACTGGGAATATCTAAAGAAATATGCTGCAGACCCTCATGGCAATTCCAAAATGGGATTTTGGCTGTGTCACTGCACTCCAAGTTGACTACTCTGGAGATGGTCCTGATTTATAATCTTTTTGTTTAAAAAAAAAAAGACAATCATACCTATCTAGCTGCATTGCAATCAACTCAACCGTATTAAGCTTGAGGAACAAGCAGAAGGAACAGACTAAGGGGCTTGGAGGGGAAGAGCAGAAAAGGAAGAAATATTCAGAGGGTAGTGGTGGTGGCAGGAGCTAGGAATGAAAGATCAGAAAACAAATCAATGAATAAGAATGGCACAAGACTGATCTATAGCTCACACAGGCCTTTGCTAATCAAGTTCAAAGTTAATGGAGCAAGGAGTCAGCCACATGGCCATCCCTAGGAAGTGGCCTGCGGATTCCTGTTGACCCAGCTGGGGCCTGTCAGCTAGCCACACTTACGTCCTTCTGGGGTTCTGAGGGTGACAAAATCGTTGGTGTTGTGCACTTTAGTCAGACATTGGACTTGCACTTTGACTTGATAGGTGGTGTCAGGTTTGAGGATTTTCAAGATGCTGATGGTTTTATTGCTATTAGTTTCCAATATTTTCCACATGCTCTCACCAACCATCCTAGGTGAGAAAACAAAGGTATTTCAGCTCTGGAGCAACATGGAGGTGACTAAGAATATATGGTTCAATTTAAAAGCAGCCACACCAGGCTTTTCATCATAGGAGCACCAGAACATCCAATGACAAGGAGGACCTTTTATTCTTCATGGTGGCAACTGCTATGTTAATGAGTGAACTGAGAGGTAGCAAAGCATACCAGAACGAACCACACAATGGAAAGAACCCTGAGTGAGGAGCCAACAAGCCTGGGTTCTGGTCCCAGTTCTGCTGCTAAACAACCATGTGACCTTAGGTATAATCACAAAATCCTAGAGTTGAAAGAGACCACAAAGCCTATCCAGAACATGCTGCTGAATGAGAATTTCCTCTACAATCTCTCTCATAAGTGATCATCAAGCCTCCAAGTCAAGACTACAAGCATTTATTAAGCACCAACTATGTTCCAGGCACTGTCCTTGTTCTCAAGAAGCTCCCAGTCTAATGGTGAAGACAACCTGCTAATAAGACATATCTATCTAGTCTATTTTTCTATCATCTATCTTATCTATCAACTATGTGTGTGTCCATCTATCATTTATTCTACCATCTATGTATCTATCATCTGTGTATCTGTGTATCTACCTATTTATCATCTATGTATGTATCTATTTATCTATCATCTATCCTATGTATCATCTATATAAGTATCTATCACCTGTCTATGTATAGTATCTATCATATCTATCTACCTATTGGTTCTATCTATCTATCTATCTCTATCTATTTACCTACCCTATCCACCTATTCTATCTATCCAATCTACCTACCAACCTATCTATTCTTTCTTTCTTTCTAGCTATCTACCTATCATATCTACCTAACAGTCCCATCTATCTCTATTACCTACCCTACCTACCTATCCATCCATCTGTCCTATCTACCTACCAACCTATCTATCTATCCATCTATTCCTTCTATCTATCTACCTATCTCTACCTACCTATCCTATCTATCTCTATTTATCTACCAAACTATCCATTTATCCTATCCACCTATCTATCCATCTATTTTCTTCCTTCCTTTCTAATCAGAAATAATCTTAGGGGGGCAGCTAGGTGGCGCAGAGGATAGAGCACTGGCCCTGAAGTCAGGAGTACCTGAGTTCAAAGCCGGCCTCAGACCAAACATTTGACACTTACTAGCTGTGTGACCCTGGGCAAGTCACTTAACCCCAATTGCCTAAAAAAAAAAAAGAATCTCAGAAGGAAGGCACTAAGATCAAGGAGGACCAGGAAAGGCTTCTTCTTAGAGATGCTGAGACTTTTGGATAGTTCTAATTTGGGAAACTTTTTTTCCTTATATTAAGCCTAGAATAGATGCCATTTCCATCCACTGTTCCTGCCCTGTGGGGTCACATAGAGCAAGTCTCATCCTCCTTCCACATGAAAGCCCTTCAAATGTTTGAAGATATCATGTCCTTCCTCAGTCTCTTCTTCTCTAGGCTAAATATCACCAACTGCTTTAGTTGATCCAGATTTGGTAGAACAGAGCCTTTCACTATCCTGGTGGTTCTTTTTTCTGATCATGTCCTTCCTAAAATCTGGCACCTAGAACTGGAGAGCGCACCCTAGATGTGTTCTGACCAAGGTGGAATGTAGTGAGACTCTCTCTTTCTTACGCCTAGGACTTTCTATACCACTCTCAATGAAGCCTAAGACTAGATTCGGGTTTTTTTGGCTGCCACACTACATTACTGACTCATATGGAGCACTGCTAAAATTCACTTTTTCAAGCAAATATAAGTCTTTACATTTATCCCTCTTAAATCTCACTTTGTTCAATTCAGTTCCATGGTCTAGTTTGTCAAGATCTTTATAGATCCTGTGACCCAATGTGTTAGTTATTCCTCTCAGTTTTGTGCCATCTACAAATATGAGATAGATACCAACTATGCTTTTATATAAGTAACTGATAAAAATGTTAAACAGCACAGAGACATACAGAGATCCCTGGGTTACTCTACCGAAGATTTCCTCCAAGTTGGCATCACACTATAAATGATTACCCACTGGGTCTAACCATTCAATCAACTCTAAATTTTGTGGTTGATCGGCAGTTTTTCAGTCATGTCTGACTCTTTGTGAACCCATTTGGGGTTTTCTAGGCAGAGATACTGGAGTGGTTGCCATTCTCTAGCTCATTTTACAGATGAGTAACTGAAGCAAACAGTAGGTTAAATGACTTATTCAGGATCACACAGTTATTAAGTGTCTGCGGCCAAATTTGAACTCAGGAAGATGAGTTTTCCTGGCCCCATGCTGTGTCCACTGTGCCACTTAGTTTACCTAGCTGTGTTAAATTCTAGCCAGTGTCTTTCCATCTCTTCCACAAGCACAGAGATTGATAAATACTTTGCTAAAATATAGGTAAACTACAGCTACGGTACTAAGCCAATCAACCAGTCTAGTAACATTGTCAGAAGTAGCACCGAAAAGCCAGAAAGAGCTGGTTCAAGTTCTACCTCTGACACATATAGATTGTATAGCCTTGGGCAAGTCACTTAACTTCTCACTGTCCCAAGGGACTCTTTAACACTAAAAGTTTCAGAGAAGGTACTAACCTGCATTGGTAGAGAGAGTTTCCTCATCTGGGAGTTCCACCAATGAAATCACAGGTAAAGTCCCTATCCATATAAGTTTGGCATGATATGTGCCAAACTGACTGATTGTTGCTTCCTCTTCTAGACATTCAATAACCATCCTTCTGATAATGACATGTTTTAGAATTCTGCAAGGAATGCAAGTAACATTTGACTTTTTCTAATCCTGAATTACCACTTCTGTTCTTTATAACCTTTCAAATATCACTGGTGGTGAGTGAAGAATCAAATTTGCCAGTTCTTTCAATACCCAAAGATATAGTTTATCTAGGCCTGGTGACTTAAACTCATCCTAGGCTCTCCTACTCATATTTTTTTGTTTTATTTCACGAATGGGTCTCTCTATCTTGGCCAGAGTAAAAATAAAGTCCTCAATGGCCCAACCCCATTAATGACCAGCATAGAAACTCTGGCCTACTCTGTTTCTAACTTGAACAGGTTGACTCCTCTATAGGTAGACTGGTGGAGCCCCTTCCCTGGACTCCCTCCCCAAAGCTCAACATGTTGATGCCAGACTTAGTGAAGGCACCCTTCTGGCAGAAGTCCCTTCTGCTGCTCAGAATTCCTGAACGCAAAAAATCCACCAGCCTCAGCCTTCCTCAGAAGCAGGGATTGCAGACCTGTGCCACTAGGCCTGGCACTTTGGAATTTGTACACTTACCTTCTATTTTGGTATATACTTAGACCACCTTAAAAAAGTAGAATGGTTGATTAATTGAAAGCCCTTTTGACTAGATTTACAAGATTTTCAAGACTCTGGCAAATGTACTTTTACCAGCCCTTCATTAGATGCAGTTCCACTCTCCACAATCTTTTGAACACTACTGATAGTGGTTCAGCAATCACACTGGTCAGTTCTTTCAGGAACCTGAGATGTGGGTGCTAGGTGATACAACAGATAGAGTACTGGGCCTGGAGTAAGGAAGACATGAGTTCAAATCTGACCTCAAGACCCTTACTAGCTGGTGACCTTGGGGCAAGTCATTTAATCTCTGCTTCAATTTACTCAACTGTAAAATGGTGATAAGGGGAAGGAACCTACTCCCTCAGTAGCCCATGATGACTAGATGATCTCTAAGGTGCCTTCTAGCTCTGAAATTACACACATACATATATACATATACACACATATTCATACATATGAAAATATAATAACCCTGGGAGTTTTATATATTTAATTGTAATAATATTATATTTTAATTATCTTATGTGCATCATCATATATGCATGTTATATTAATTATATATAACATATATATAATATATATTATATATGTAAAACTCCCAGGGATATAACTATAGATACACACATATGCATGTATCCCTATTCATTTGCTGAGCAGACATTTATCAAATACCTACTTTGTGCAAGGCAGGGAGATACAAAGCTCTATAGAACACAGATCCTGTTTTTAAAGACCTTATTATCTAATCTGATGGGCAGTTGCCCATTACTAACCTACAGCATCTATACAGATAAGTACAAAATTGTACAAATAACAGTGGTACAAGAGGCAGCAGGTAATGTAAAGGAAAATCTGAGTAGGGTGCGTACATCATTTCACCTTGGGAGCTGGGGCCAGGGAAAGGCTTCATGGAAGAGGCAGGGGAGGGAATGAGGGTTGGGGAAATCCAGTCCATGTATGGGAAATGGCATGAACAGAAGAATGGAGGCAGAAAAGAGCAGATTATGGAGTGCATCCTTGTCAGACTGAAATGTATGATGATCCCAGAACTCACCGGTAATAGATATTATACACACAGGATGCTGCTGGCATTTTTTTCGGCCGTGTCCAAGTCAAAGTAACATCACCAGAGAAATCAGCTGTCCACTGGAGATTCTGTACTTTATATACAGTTGTCTCCTCTACAGAAATAAAGGGATTAGCAAGAGAGTGGGAGAAAATACTGCCTCATCAAGTCTTGGGTTTGAAGGGCCCTCTGGGAGTCACTTAATCCCTTACCCAGACTCCTGACAAAGCTGGGCCAACAGTTATGTGGAAAGGCCCCAGTCCTCTTAAAATAAACCTGGGCAAGAATTCTATAGCCTCCCTAATTGCAAATCTTTCAGGGGCCCCATATCCCTTATAGCCATGACGCATCTCTACATTTTTGCTCAAATCTGTCCTGCTGAAATGTCAGCAGAGGTACAAAATGCAAACAGATCGGCATTCATTATTGCTTCAATCATGAGAGCCCTGAACACTTAATATGTTCTCAAGGAGAAGGCAATGAGTTGAGTTGAGGCACAATGCTGAAGCAGCAGTGGCTAAGCGTTCACAATAAGAAAAGAATCACAGCTAAAACAGAGCCAGGAAGGAGCAGGGCCTAGTGGTAAGGTAAGGATGGTGTCAGAGTTTCAAAGTCTAGCCTGTTCTCACCTTCCTTAAGGGAACCAGAAGAAAGGTTCTGCTTCACCTATAGGTTGAATGAAAAACAAGAAGACCCATAGTTCCTTGCAGAGGGATCCTTGGTTACCTTGGGAACAAAGGAAAATTGTCTAAACAGGTCAATGGGGAGAAAAGTCACTCACCAGTACAGCTTCTTTCATCACTGCCATCAGAACAGTCCAGGAAGCCGTCACAGCGCTCTGTCAGGACGATGCAGGCTTCTCCATCCTCACACATATACCGTCCACTGACACAAGTCAACGTGCTACGTGTAGCTAGAAAACAACAAATACAATAAAATTCAAAAGCTCATAGGAACCATGGAAAAATATAGGAGTAATGGATTCCACTAGTTGAGCCTGAGGCTCCAGCTCTGGTCATGTCTGCAGTCAGTGTCTCGACTGTTTTTTTAGCTCAATTAGCTTCATTTAAATGTGTCAGAATTAACCATCCAAAGGAGGAAGATTCATAGCTTACAATTCTATATACCTTAAAATTTACAAAGTGAGTTCTTCATTCACACTCCATACACACAAACTCTAGGGCTCTCATGCAGTCATGTGCCAACACCTTCAACATGAAATGCTTTGGAGAAGGTAGACTAATATATAGCTCAGGGGAGTACTTCAGTCTGTGTGACTCTTTCTGAGCAATTATAACAATAGTAAAAATAATTGCTATTACTGTGGGTAGCTAGGTGGCACAGTGGATAGAATGCTGGGCCTGGAGTCAGGAAGATCTGAGTTCAAATCATGTAACCCTGGGAAAATCATTTAATTTTTGTTAGCCTCAGTTTCCTCATCTGTAAAATGAGATAATAACAACACCCATTCCCTGGGGTTGTTTTGAGGATGAAATGAGATAATAACTGGCACATAATAATCACTAAATAAAGTTAGCTATCATCATCATCATCATCATCATCATCATCATCAATAGTGTGTATACCACTTAAAATTTTTCAAATTTTTCAAAATATTTTCACATAAAATGAGATAATGTATGTAAAGAGATTTGGAAAGGCTGAAAAGCCATGCAAATACATTCTGTCTACTTTTACTGACCCTTTACACAATACTGTAAAATTAAATCAAGAAAATACTTCAATAAAATATAGAAGCTCTCAAAATCAAGTTCTGACTATGCAACTACAGTTGATTCTAAGGAAAAAGGAAAGTCAGTGTTGCTGCACAGGCAGCTCTCTGGTGAGCTCAGATTTCAAAGGGGCATGTACAAAGGACAGAAGAGGTGACATATAAACTAGGGTGAAAAAAAATAACCTGGACCTAGAAGAGAATAGGGGGTGGGTGATCATTAAGGCCTCTTCTAGCTTTCAATCCCTTCATCTCTCTAAAGCAGATAAAGGGAGAGTATCACTTCTATTTGGAAGGAAGGAAGGAAAGAAGGAAGGAAGGAAGGAAGGAAGGAAGGAAGGAAGGAAGGAAGGAAGGAAGGAAGGAAGGAAGGAAGGAAGGAAGGAAGGAAGGAAGGACAGAGATGACAGAGTAATAGATAGTGAGAAAGAGACAGAGAGGCAGACAGAGAGATAGAGTGATAGACAGAGGCAGTAGAAAAGAAAAAGAAGTCTGGAGAGTGAGTCTAGGCATGAGTGAGGTGAAGCATCGTTTGGGCCCTTATTAAAATGGAGCTTCAGAGAAGGAGTCACCAATCAGAAGAGCAGAACCTCAGGCCAGAAGTTTCTCCAGGATAGCAAAGCAGCAGGTGAAGACAAGAAACCCAGAGTCTGTCTTATTTACAAGGAAGAAAAATAGCAGGAAAGGCTTTGTAGCTACTGACACTCTATCAAAGAGAATTATCTTCAGATTGGAAAGGAATTAAAGCCCACAATTGGTGAGGAGAGAGTAGCAGAGAAGTTGGTTACTTTCAATAACTCATCAGGCCCTTACAAACTGTATCCCAGGGTATGGAAAGAACTTGTAACTGAGATAGCAGAACCACGGTCAGTAATCTCTGGGACAACACGGAGCCTGGCAGAGAAGCCTAGGGATGGGAGAGAGGTGAATGTTCCAGTTTTCCAAAAAAGGTAGATTCTAGAAATTACAGCTCAATAAGTGAGTTCGACAGGATCGCTAGCAATATTCTAGAATCAGATTATTAGATTAGTAAGCATTTAAAAAAGAATGCAGTGATAACAAGGAACAAATCATGCCCAACTAACATCACTTAATTTTCAAAAGGGATCAAAGGATTACCACAGAACCAGTCCAGCCTAATTTCAGCACAGTTTTAACAAAGTCTACCCCATTATCCTCATGGACAAGACAGAAATGTGGCAGGGATGATGACAAGACTAACTGTCATTTTGAAAATGTTTTACTTAATTATATCATCTGACCTTTTATGACAACCCTGAAGTAAGCACTATGGGTATTACTATTTCTGTTTTATAGATGGGGAAAATAAGGCTGTTTGTCAGTCAGGCAGTCAGTCAATAAACATTTAATAAGCACCTACTGTGTGCCAGGCACTGTGCTAAACACTGGAGACTCACCCAACAACTACTAATACCTATCAGGGGCAGGACTTTAACCCAAGTCTTCCTGACTCCAAGTCCAGAACTCTATTCTATACCAGACTGTCTACCAACAGGATATCAGGGCTGGGGGGAGGTGGGGAGGAGAACTATGTAACTGTTTGAACAATCCTACTAGGTACTGAATAAAAGATCAATGTCAGCCTAGAAGGAAGTCTCTACTGGAGTCAACTTAGCTCAAATTCTGGTCCTACAACATACTAATGACACTGGAAAAACCACTGAACTTTTTCGTACACGACCCTTTCTTATCTAACATTTTAACCCATAACTTCGATAAATATATTGAAGGCATGCTTACTCAGTTTTCATAACGCACAAAGTAGAATGGTGTAACCTTTAGGATAAACAATAAAATCAAGCTTTAAAAGGATCCTGATGTGTTGGAATAACCACAACAAGTCAACAAGACAAAATTCCATAAGGATAAATATCAATTTCTGCACTTGAGCTCAAAAATCCAACTGCTAAGCACAGCAAGCTCTGGTTTAATAGCAATTTATGTGATAAAAACCTAGGGGTTCTAGGTGGATACACGCTCAGTATGAGTCTAGTATGACTTGGCTGGCCCAAAAGCTAATGTTCTCTTAGGCTGGATGAATAACAATAATAATCACAGCAATAATGTATTGTATTAAGAACAAGGGAGATAAAAGTTACAGTGTTCTCCGCACTGATTATGCATACATATGTACACACGTATCTATTTCATATATATATATATATATATATATATATATATATATATATATATATATATATATATATATAATATATATATATATATATATATATATACATACATACACACACACACACACACACACACACACACACACACACACACACACAAAGATATAGTGATCTGTTCACTGAGGCATTAACAAACTGAAGTATTTCCAGAAGAGTATGACTAAGACTGTGAAAGACCTGAAAATCACACCACAGACTCACAGGTTCCGAGAAATTTTTGTCATGGAAAAGGGTGATGGAAGAAAAGGCAGGAGAATACTAATTCTGACTCTCTCTTACTAGTTACATGAGCTCACTTAAGCAACTGTGCCTTAGTATCTTAATTTACAATATAAGGATAATAACTGTCCTTCCTATCTCATAGGGCCAATGAAAAGTCAATGAGATAATGTATGTAAAAGCATTCTGTACATCATAAAGGGTTATACAAATGTCAGAAATGATGGTGAGGAGGAGGAAGATGACAACTATGCTACCATTTTGGGAATGGCTGAAGGAACTGGGGATTTTTAACCTGGAGAAGAGAAGACTTGGCTAGGAGCACAACAGTCACCTTCAAAGTTTCAAGGGTTGTCTTATGAAACTATGTGGCTCCAGAGGGCAGAACTAGCAGCAACTGGTGAAAGTTACAGAGAGGTATATTTTGGTTCAATATAAAAAAAGAACTTCCTAACATTAAGAATGCTCCAGAAATGGAATGGGTTACAACTTTATGAGGTCATGTAACTTGTCACTGGAAGCATCCCAGCAGGGTCTGAATGACCAATTGTCAGGGATGCTGTGGATGGTGTTTGTGTACTAGGTAGTAAGCTGGATTCAGTGAATTTATTAGATGAAGCTGGATTGAAGCCTTTTTCAATTCTATGAGGGAACAGGTATTATTATTACCATTGGAAAAATGAAAACATTAGGAACAAGGAAGTTAGACACCTTGTTCAAAATCAAGCAGTTGGTTATTGGGAGACTGGGGATCAGAACCCAATATTCTTTCCACCAGACCATGAACCCTCCCACGGGGAAGATACACAAAACTCATCGTCAGCAGGACACCCACTTTAACCTCTGACAGCAGTGACAGCTTTACACAGACCCTTCCATACTCTTTCACCCAGTTGCCTTTGTGACCACAGCTTGCATATTTGAGATGGTAACAAGGCCTATTGTGGAAATCTGCAGTCAAGAAACAGAACAAAGCTAACTGGCCCTCAAAAGGACGGATGGCACCCTTGATCTTGACCTTGTAAGCAAGGAGGTAACTAGGCACATGTAACATTCTTCAAGTGCGGCTCGGAAGTCTCTGCTTTTTCATCTAGAACAGGATCATCTTTGGCTTTCTGACCTTCCCACCCTCTCCCTGGGCTCCAGTCTTTTGGGTGTGAATGGAATAGGCTTGGAAATGTCTGTTAAGCCATCCCTGCCCCACCTCCTTCGAAAGTCACAGGAAACTGTCCAATGATGTATTTTATCTTTAATGTGTGTTCCACAGAACAGTGTGCCTTGAAATGGATTCAAGTAAGCTAAGAACAAATAAAAAAAGGTACCCTCCCCTGCCCCTTTTTAAAAAGGAGATAATAATACTAGAAATCCCTAACTCCCAGTGACAAAGAAAATAACTCTAAAGCACTATGTCCACATAACCTTTGATACGGATGTTTCCAAAGTGGCCACAGGCACATTCATGTGTTTATTCATTCAACAAATGTTTATTAAGCACTTATGGTGAGCAAAGCACTGTGCTGTGTGCTGGGGATGGGTGGGAGGGCATACAAAGCCTAAAATGGCCCTCAAAACTCCTGAGTCTAATCTGAACCAGATTAAAATGTAACTGGGAAATATTTGACAAAATAAATAAAAATACAATGCAAGACAGTTAATGTCAATTTGTGATTTTCTAAGTCAATATGCAGCCTGCAGGGATCCATTTCTTAATTATGACTCTACTGGTCTAGAACAGTGTAGACCCTGACCCCAACTGTTTATGAGCATATAACACAAACATGACTGTACATATGTATCCACAGATACAGACAAACATACTTGAGACTCCACTCAAGTAGGGATATACAACTCACAGGGAAATTAAGCACAAGGAATATAAGACCAACACTAGAAATCACCCTTCCTAATGGCTCTAGGCACTTACGACAGTTGGACTCGTCCATGCCATCCTGGCAGTCCCTATGACCATCACAGCGCTTCCAATTGGGAATGCACTTCTTTGGCTGCTGGCACTCAAATTCAAACCTGCTGCATCGTCCAAGCTGGGTAGTGGTGGAGGTCAACGAGACGTTAGCTGGGAAAGGAGACAAGAAAACCATCAGAACCTCAGGACAAAGGGGAAAGGCCAGTGAACACTGGGGACAACACAGAAAGAGGTGAACAAAGGTCCCAAAAAGCTAGAAATTTAATGATGGAATATGTACACAGGGGTTTGACAGAATAAGCTCTATTCCACTCAAAATTGCTGGAGGCTGTGGTACAGCTGAGATTAAAGAACATCGATTAAGAATAAAGCATAACCTTCAAAAGACCTGGAGTAAGGGCTACAGTGCCAGATGTTGTATGAAGGATCTAAGGAAGAAGCTGGATAGAATGAGAAGCCATGGATAGATCATAATCTGTATCAACAGAGTTTCTGTATCAATAAGCTCACAGACCTACTGGTAATAAGGAAATATCTGAGAGAAGAATGACGAAAATGGTTCAAAGGCTGGGTCTTGAGGCAAAGTTTGATAAGGTAAAGGGATCCCTCATCTTACCACACGAATTACTAACCATATACCTAATGTTATAGTGTGTTAGTGAAGGCTTCAGTTCTCACTACACACTTATAATCTTTTGAGGGAGACAAGCTTTATGTACATAAAACAACTAGAAAGCAATTCATGAAAATAAAATTGAGGACTAATATGTATAACACAAAATACAAAAGGGGAAGAGAGCAGTGTGCACTGAGGTTATCACAGAAAGTTTCATTGAAAGAGTCATGTAAAAGTTAAGGATGTAACAACTCTCAGGTCTAGGTCAGAGGGTCTCTTGAGGGCCTTTCCCTAAGAGTTACAGCCTCATGTATTTTGAAAAATGATGGGGCTTTCAGATAGGGGCAAATAGGAGGCCAGCTTCAGTGGAAAGGGGGTAGATGTAGGGGGAAAGTGGGAAACAGAGTGGTAATAGGTAGGCAGCATGGGTTCACATTATGGAAGCCCTTGAACAGAAAGCTGAGGAGTCTGGAATTATACAACTGGGCAACATGGAGCTATGGGAGGTTCTTAAGCAGGGGAGTAATATGATGAAAAAAAGGAAGAATAGAATGGAGACATAACAATTTACTATGCAAAGTTTTTAAGCAAAGGATGAGTGATTATTCTCTATTTCTACAAAAAAAAAAGAAATAGGCTCAAAATATACAGATACAGGAAGAATTCAGATTAGACAGAAGGAATACACTTTTGACTCTTGAAATTTCAAGTCAAGGGGCAGCTAGTGGCGCAGGAGATAGAGCTCTGGCCTTGGAGTCAGGAGGACCTGAGTTCAAATCTAGCTTCAGATACTTGACACTTACTACCTGTGCAACCCTGGGCAAATCACTTAACCCCAACTGCCTCACCAAAAAGCAAAAAAAAAAAATCTCTGTTGTGTCATTTGCAGGATTTGGGGAAGTCAGCTCATTTCTCTGAACTCTGCTATCCACTTAATAAAACGGAAGGGACTGAATTAGATGACATTCTAAGAGAGGATTCCTAACCATTTTTATGTCATGGACCCCTTTGGCAGTCTGGTGAAGCCTATGGAACCCTTCTCAGAAGAATACTTTTAAATGCATAAAATAAAAATACATAGTACTACAAATGAAACCAATTATATAGAAATATAATTATCAAAATATTTTTCAAAAACACAAGGCAATGGATTCCAGGTTAAGCACTCCTGCTCTTGCAGCTGTAACCATCAATGATTCACAAAATCATGTATGTCAGAGCTGAAAGGAACCTTAGAGACTTAGTCCAGATGTCAAAACTGAGAATGTGATTCATTCAACATCCCACAGCTACTAAGTGACAGAGAGCCAGGATGTGAACCCAAGCGTCCTGAGTCCATATTCCATTTAGAGTAATCTAGAGAAGGGTTCATTCATTCAATAAACATTTACTAAGTGCCTACTATGTGCCAGGCACTGATAAGCACTGTGGAATCTCTTCTCGGATGACCTTTACGAAGAAGGACATTCATCTAGCTGATGGGCGTATTCTGCCTGAAGCGAGGTGTATCAATTAGCTGAGCTCTCAAGGTCTTTAGAAGCCTGCACAGTCCAGGTACGATGGACAGCCAGTTCAAAGGCACGGAGATGGTGGATGGAGTGTCGTCTCAGTTTGTCTGAGCAGTAGAATGAAAGTGAGTAATGCGTATGTAAGGAGGCTAGGAGTGTAGGAAATTAAGACAGGGCAAGTTGGTTGGTCCTTTGAAAGAACAAGTGTGTCACCACGTATAACCACTAGATGGCAGTCTTCTACTCTTTTCTGAGGAGGAAACTGCCATCTCTCTCTGTTCCGTCCCAGAGCCTTAACCATAAAGATATATTCCTATGCACACTCCCAGCTGCACTTGCTGCCCAGGGAGAAAGGCACGGAGCTGCTGAGATGGGAACAAGAAAGCTGGAAGAGTCTTGCAGCAAGTGCAGAGGGCCAGTGACAACTTCATCGTTCAGTCTTTTCCTTGTAATCTAGCATTTAGAGCACAGCCCAAGGAAAAGTCACTCAGAAATCTGATTTACAATTGCTATCTCTAAAGCTGCTGCTGCAGTGGAAGTGAGCTGAGGCTTTACCCCTAACTCCTCAAAAGACAAGAAGACAGTGGAGTTAAGAAGAGCTGAGATCCAATCCAGCCTCCAATACCAGTTGTATGACCCTGGGCAAGTCACTTAACCACCATGTGCCTCAGTTTCCCCATCTGAAAAATGATAATAATAAAAGCAGCTACCTCCCAGGGGTTATCATAAGGATCAAATTAGACAGTATTTGTGAAAGGCTTTGCAAATCTTAAAGCACTACATAAAAATGCTGGCTACTATTACTAAGAAGGCAACATGTTACAGTGCCAAGATCACTAGGTTAGAGTTTACAATACCTGGGTTCAAATTCCAGCTCTGCCTCAGCTGGGGGCTCTGGGTGGGTGGAGGACCCAAACAGTGAACAGATCTCTGGGCTGGCCTCATAAATGTTTGTTCCCTTCCCCAAACCCCATCTTGCCGTGCGACCCCAGGCAAGTCATTTCTCCTTTCTGAGACTCTGTTTCCTCTGTTTTAAATGACCATATTTGACCAGATAATTTCTATGATCCCATCCTGCTCCTGACTGCCTTATGAGGCAGGGCCTCTGAATTCATTTCCCCCTTTCATATCATGTGTGCTGTTTGAGAAAGTCTGATAAAGGCACTTTTTCAAGGTGACTTCCAGAAATCCTGGGCTCTCTAAGGAGGGGCAGTGCTCTGGCTCAGTGGGGAGGCATCTTCCACAGGTGGGAGCGAGGTCAAGAGGTCGGAGCTCCTAAACTCACCAGTGGTCGGGCAGGCTTCCTCATCAGAGCCGTCAGGGCAGTCTTTGTACCCATCACATACCCAGCTGTTCATAATGCAGGCACCACTGTTACAGCGGAAGTAATTGGGCAGACACGTGGAAGGCCTTGTCGTCGTGATGGGGGGAAGGAGATGTGAATCTGCGAAAAACAGAGCAACAAAACCCTCAGAAGTCAGCGTCACAGGAAGCTAAGCCCCTAATCTGTAAGTCTAAATGGCACCCTAGAACCCGCAAGGCTGACGGGTACACAGCAGAATGCTAGATAATTCGAATGTTATTTACCTGGGAGCTTTGGGATGAGTTGACATGTACACGGCAGGCAAGCCTACCATCCCAACTGTGTTTAGTTCAGGCCAGTACTGAAATGGGCTTGTATTTCTGGGGTAAATACGTCAGCTGACGGCTAGAGAGCAGAGGGTCTAAGTTAGAGGGTGCTGAACATCTGAAGTGGTTAACCAAAGTTGGCTACACCGTCCAGTGCAAGGACCCAAAGCGAGAGACTAGAAGAAGCACGCTAAGATACTGGTAAGGTTCAGGTCTCAAGAGCTTCTACTTACTAGCTACCTGACCTTGGCCAGGTTATTTACCTTTTCTGATCCTGTTTCATCCCTTACAATGAAAATAGTATTTGTACTCCCCAGAGCCCAGGGTTGTAGAGAGGATTTAACACGTGGCACAGTAGATGGAGTCAGCGACACCTGAGTTCAAATCCAGACTCAGACACTTACTAGTTGGGTGACCTGGACAAGTCACTTAGCTTCTGTTTGCCTCAGTTTTCTTAACTATAAAATGGGGATGATAATAATAATACCCACCTCCCAGGATACTTGTGAGGACCAGCTGAGATGATATTTGTAAAGCTAAACTTAGCACAGGGACAGGCACATAGTAAGTGCTACATAAATGTTTGTTATTGTTATTTTTTCTTCCCCTTTATTTTATTTTATTTTCTAAAACAAATATACAAAAAGAAAAAGAAACATGTAAACTAAAATATTAAAACTTAAATAAGGGGCAGCTAGGTGGCACAGTGGATAGAGCACTGGTCTTGGATTCAGGAGGACCTGAGTTCAAATCCAGCCTCAGACACATAACACTTACTGGCTGTGTGACCCTAGGCAAGTCACTTAACCCCATTGCCTAACCAAAAAAAAAAAAAAAACTTAAATAAGAAATAGAATAAGAAAATAAGAAATAAGAATAAAAAAGGAAATAAAATAAGAAAAGAAAAAAGCCATGCGCACAGCAGAACATAAGAGTGGATTCAACACATATACCAATAAATTTCCATTTCAAGAAAGCCTACCTAATAGATACTACATGTTGTGCTGAGAGCTATCCATCTTTTCTTTGCTTCCTTGTAAGTTTTCTTTTGTTCTGTGCTATGCACTTTTTACTGTTCTTTTTCCCCCTTCCTTTTCTCCCCACCCGAAGGCTATGATTAAGCATGGATACATTTATATATAGATATATACACACAAATATACACATACATACAAAAAAGATACATACATTTATAAACACTTTCCCTAACAAATTCTACTCCTGATATTTGTTTTATGTTTGCGCATATCCCTTATTTCCTATCCCTCCAGACTCCTCTACTTTATTTCTACACACTAACTTGCCCTCCTATTATTTAACCTACCCCACCTCCAATGATCCCTCCCTTATCCTCCCATTCCCTTTAATCTAAACACCCTTCTATACCCTCTTAACCTAGTCCTTCACCCTATCTGCTAGAGATCCCTCCCTTATCCTCTCCCCCCTTCGTATCCCCTTGTCATTTTATTTCTTCTGAATTTAGAAGACTTTTACACTCTTCTAGATGTTCTAGATATATATGTATTGTTCCCTCTTAAACCCATTCCTGATGAAAGCAGGTTTCTAGAGCTACCAGCCCGCCTCCCTCATTTAATTCCCTTGTGTCAATTTTTCCTCTAGCACCTCATTTGTATATGATAATTACTCGTTTAAGCTGCTCCTAAACAGTTCTACTTTTTGAAGTCATATTATACTCAGGTCTACCTCGATCTTTTTCACAAACTACCCAATTACTAATAACAATCTCAAACATATGTTTTACATTTTACATACATAAAAGAAAAACAGTCTATTGAGTCCCTTGTAATTAGTCTTTGGTATATAACATATTTCTCTTGGCTCTTATATGTCAAATCTTCTATCAAGTTCAGATTTCTTTTTAAGAAAGTCCTGAAAGCCTGACAATTCATTAAATATCCATTTTTTTCCATTGAGGATTATGCTTAACTTTGCTGGGTATATTTTTGGCTAGAACCTCAGTTCTTTTCGTGTGATTCTAATTGTGGCACTGCCACATTTAAATTGTTTATTTTTTCTTGTTGCTCATCATATTTTATCCTTCAGCTGGGGGTTTCAGAATTTGACTATAATATTCATAGGATCTCTTTCAGGTGGCGAGCAGTAGATTTTTTTTTCCTATTTGTTCTTTCCCCTCTTGTTCTAATGCTTCAGGACAATTTTCTTGACAATTTTCTTTAATTATTTCTTGTATTGTTGTATCAAGATTCTTTGTTTGATCATAACTTTCAGGTAGTCTGATTATTCTTATGTTTTTTCTTCTTAATCTGTTCTCCAGATCAATTATTTTTCTTATGAGATGTTTCACATTCTCTTCTATTATTTCATTATTTATATTTTGCTTTATTATTTCTTGATCTCTTACAACTTTGCTGGCTTCCCTTTGCCCAATTCTGATTTTCAAGGAGTCTTTTTTCTTCCTTAAGATTCTGGATCTCCTTTTCTAATTGGTTTTCTAATCTTCTTGCTTTTGTTAGACTGGTCTTTTTTTTTTTTTTAGTTTTTCCTCAATCTCTCTCATTTGATTTTTAAAGTCTCTTTAAAGTTCTTCTATGAATTCTTTTTGAGCAGGTTTGACATTACTCTTTGGGGTAGAAGAGGGTTTCTTTACTTCAGTATCCTTCCCTGAAAATAAACCCTGGTCTTCTCTATTCCCATAGTAATGCTCTATGGTTTGATTCTTTCTCCTTTGACCGTGCATTTTTTTAAAATTTGTAGTAGCTTAATTTTTACAATCATCTCTAGTTCTGGGGTGTGAGAGACAGTGCCTTTGGCTCAGATCTTCAGTTCTCCCCTCTAGCCCGGAACAAGACTTCCAGCCTCCTATAAGTGCCCCCCACCAGAGGCATCTAGCCCCACTGCTTCTGCACTTACCACTCAGGGGCTGGTTCCTTCTCAGCAGAGGTTCCCTCAATCTTCCCCAGCTCAGATGTCCAACTCTCCTCACTGTCAGGGGATGGGCAGGGGGTGTCCTTGTGGCTGGGGCCAAGGCAGCCTCCCAACCCAGCCAACCCCAGGGTTTGCCGCTGGTTCTTTAAGTGGTCCCTAGCCTGGAGGTGTTTACTCTTCACAGGGACCACCCTCAGCCTGGGATTTTTCTTCAGATCTTCTCTGATTGTCCCAGGAGGACCCCTATTGCACTCCTACTCTTATTTACTTTTACCTGCTCTATGTTCGCTCAGAGGCACTATTTTATCTCTTTTGTGGAGGAAAATCTGGAGAGCTTAGAATTTTCTGACCTAGTCCGCCATCTTCCCAGAATGCTCTCCTGTTACTGTTATTATTATAATCATCCTTATCATCCTCATTATTATTTAGGCAAAGCACTTTGTAAACTAGCAAGCGTTCTATAAAGATCAGCTGGTTGTAAGCGCTCCCTTACCTCCACCTCCACAATCCTTTTCATCAGACCAGTCCCCACAGTCATTCTCCGTGTCACATTTCCACCTGTTTGGAATGCAGTGCCCATTTTCACACCGGAACTGGAAGTACCGAGAGCAGTCTGGTGCTTCAGTGGGGTTTTCTAAAGATATCAACCATGAGCAGTAGTCACTTTCCCAGTACATGTTATTCAGAGACCTCAAAGATCTAATTACACCTTTCTTACCCAGAACCCAGTGGCATTTACCAAGGCTATTAGACTCTACAACAGAGACAAAGAAAATCACCCATATAATTCCATAAATTCCACCCCCCTTCTCTCCTCCTCATGAAACTTAATTTCCTAAAATATATCATAACATTTTAAAAGCCATTATCTGAATTTAAAATTATACACATCTGACAAAAAAGAATGGTCTATTGACGAAAATTAACGGTGGTGATATAGCTGTGAATTAGGACACTCGGTACTTTGAAGAGCATTACACTCAAAAAATGAAAAAATATATACATGTGTGTGTGTATACGCATACATATTAAAAAACTTGGTACTTTGAAGAGTATTACACTCAAAAAATGGAAATACATAATATACAATATAATCACACACATATATCATCTCAATATGAGGAGCGCTCAATAGCTTCCAAAGTTTCTCAAGACATGACAGCCCATAAATTGGCTTAGAATTAGCTGTCATTCCTGAAAAAAAAAAAAGTTACATGCCTGAATATGACCAAATGTCATTTCATTTTACTGCTTCCTGAATTAAGGGTAAGATAAGATCAAGGACAGAAAAGTGAACAAGCAGTTTTTTAAAAATTAGCTTACCACAATTAGCTTCATCTGAGTAATCCCCGCAGTCATCCATCCCATCACATTTCCAAATCAAACTAATACAAACTCCATTCTGACACTGAAAACTGAACTGGTCACAAACCTTGTGGAATTCAGGGTCAGGAGCTAACAAAGGAACACGTTAAAACATGAGATAATGATCATTCTTATGCTAAAAAGTTCAGCATAGCAGAACAACATATGGGTAAAAAATGGCCTGAAAACTTCTCAAAGGCTTTTCTGATCTGAAGATTCTATGAAATATATTAACCCCAAGCAAAAAACAAAACAAAACAAAAATAAAAACAAACCACAAACTCTAAACTGTTAGTACTTTGACTACTCTCAACTGAAAGGGCTTATAATGCTTTATATATAATGTCTAGTCTTTTAAGATAGCCCATACTGGATACTTGACAGATCTCTAAGCTGGGTGAATAAACATCCCCAAAGTGGTCTCACCACCCTTCAGCTGTGACAGTCCTTCCACCATTTCAGGATATCACTTCCCTAAGCAGCCCACTTACCACACCCAGCAAAAGCTGCATCCTCATCTGAGCCATCACGACACTGGACAATGCCATCACACACCATGGTGTTCAAGAGACACTGCTCGTGGTTTTTACATACAAAGTCCATGAAACGACTACACAGGGGCTCTGAAAGAATTCACAGACAGAAGGAGACTTCAATTAGGCAAATATCCATTAAACACCTACTATTTGCAAAGTAAGCCCTGTGTCAGACATAGAAACAAACAGTAAGTATAGATAAGACAGTCTCTACCTTTAGAATTCAGTTTAGGTGGGGTAAAAGATAAAACAACATTGCTAAGTAAAATGCACAATAAAAACATTGTTCAAAACAAAGAGCTATAGGAAACCCAAGGGGGGAAAGGCCATTCATTACTAAGGCTTGGGGGAATGAGAGGAGAGAGAGCTTCACAGAGGAGGTGGCATTTCAGTTGGGTTAAAATGGATGGCTTGTAATTCAGGAGGGGAGGGGGCTGGTGGGACTTTGCTACCCAACGTTATTCTGCAATTAACAATGGACACTTCAGGCAAATAGAGCCTTAAGTCAAGGCATTAAAACAACAATTTGGGATTTAAAGGAGTTTGAGGCCACAAAATGTTGCATGTGTGGTCCCTAGCAATACTAGATTAGAACGCAACCAACTCAGGAGCCAGAATCAATGCCCACTGAGACAATTTAGCTGGAACTTCTCTACACCAAGGCCCAAAGGCACATACCCCCTCTGGTGCTGTCTATCTGCCACAGGGATCCAGCAAGAGACTGCCCGAGTAGCTGAAGGTCAATCTGGTTAAAAACTGACACTGAGCAGCAAAATGTTGAGACCACCCGCTCCCAGACACCACGGACACCCCGTCTGTGGTTTCCCCTTGGAAAAGCGCAGCACTCACCACAGTGCTGCTCATCTGAGCCATCTGAGCAGTCATGGAGCCCATCACAGTGTTTGCTGGATGGAATACAGGTACCATTGGGGCAACGGAATCCATTGCACTTCTTCTCTGGAATTTGGTAAAGGAAGAAAAGGAAGAGAAAGAAAAAAAAATCAGTGCCGAGGAGCAGGAAGCCATGAAGCCTGGATCAGATTCTTAAAATAAATAATAAAATGTATGACATAAAATAAATTAAATAAATATTTGTTAAATACAATTGTATGTTAAAATTAATTATGATTACATAATAAATTATATGTAACTATAAATTAAGATTAAATAAAATTATTAAATATAAAATAAATAATAAAAAATTTTGAATAACGATAATAATAGATAGAGATAGAAAGAGTCCTGGGAGGGATTTTAGATACCTTCTAGTCTAATCCCCTCATTTTAGAGATAAGGAAACAGGATCATACTGGGAGGAAAGAGCCAAGGCTCCTACACAGGGGAAAACCCCCTTTATAATTTCATTAGAGCACTGTGCCATCTATCTTCTCAACAATCACGTGAGGTAAGGAGAACAGGTTCCTAAACACAGGCCACCATCTAACCCTTATCCCTGCTATTAATCTTTGAAAAAAAAAAAAAGTAGGAACCAAACAGCAAGAGTTTAAAGGATGTGCTGAAGCAAGGCACTGAAAATTTGTAGAGAAACAAAAGCAGGGCCCTCAATTCCCACATCCAGGTCCGTCAATCTTGCCAAAAGAGCACTGCCTCTAGATCACAGCCAGGCGCAGTGATTCAAAGTGAGCACGGACCCACCCTGGTCTCTGAGTCCCAAGGACGCAGTCTCACAAGTATAACCAGGAGGAACAATGCGCAGTCAAGGCATCCCTTCTAGAAAAGCAACCAACCAAAAGAAATGTTCCCGAGTCCTCCAAGCTGGCTCACTTAAAACTCTGAGGCGTGCAGTAGCTTCCCCAGCTCAGTGGGAATCTCTTGGTGAAGAATGATGGCATTTCCCATCCCGAAGCCTCAACTCGCTTCTCCTTTCTAGGGGAGACTGAAGGTCAGGCGCTGGGTCAGAGGCATCTGCACTCACCACAGTTGATGGGGTCCTCATCAGAACCATCCTGGCAATCGGCATCTCCGTCACACGCCCACCTCTGAGGGATACAGTGCCCATTGCGGCACTGGAAGCTGGAGGCCTCACAGGTGTGGAAGATGGCTAAAAACAAAACAGAAAGAGACAGCATCACCACAACTGCCCCTTCTCTCTCCCCCACCAACCACTGAGGAGAGGTGAGTGCTGCCTGGTCCTTAACACTGAAGGAGGAGGTCTGTCCTAGCTCTAGGCAGGACCTAGAAAGCTGGGAAAGGCTGGTTTCTAAGCTCAGTGGGTGCACCTTGATGAATGGTCTGGCACTTCTAATGACTACCTTTCAACAACTTCTAAAATTCACTGCAGAATCATCATGAAGCTCTATATACAAAAGTTAAAGAAAGTGACCTTCCCCCAACTGACTGAAGCATGGTTGGGAAAAGACAAATACCTCTGGTGTGTGTCACACAGACAAACCCTCTCTCTCTCTCTCTCTCTCTCTCTCTCTCTCTCTCTCTCTCTCTCTCTCTCTCTCTCTCTCTCTCCTCTCACTCTCTCTCTTTCCAGAGCCTTATAACATATGCTTTACAGAAGCAGTTGTTTCCTCTTTCTTTGAATTGGTCACATTTATTTTCATCTGCACATGCCCAAAGATCTTTGCTATAAGCATAATGGTAACCAGAGCAAGACAGGACAACTCGACGTGAATTCTATTCTAGTCTATTTGACATTTTGTTATAGAAAGGTAACATTACAGTCAGTGTTCAAATTTCCTCCCTCTAATACTTATTAGTTTTGCAACTCTGGGAAAGTCACTTAATCTCTCAGGGTCCCAGGCAACTTTCTAAGCCTGTATATTGATGTCCATCTAAATTGGTAGAGGGAGATTCCATACCAGGGGTTCCCTTCAAGAATGAAATTAAAGACCTATCTCACTACAACCAAACAAAATAAAAATGATAATAACAATAATAACAATGTCTTGTTTCCCATCTGTAAGTCCTGTGTCCCCAAAAAGAATATAAACTCTCAACGTCATAAACCATTAATGATTTTTCAAAACTGCTGTTGAGGATTTTATGTTTTTACTCCCTAAAATAGTGATACAGAAACAGCAGGTGTTCAATATATATCTGATAACTTAGTGATACTTCCTCCTAAATAAGAGAATTCCTTCATTTATTCTCACTACAACTCTATAGGGTAAAGCTGTCTGCTTCAGAGGTGAAAAAACTGAAAACCAGAGAGTGGCTTACTCAAGGTCACACAGCAAGTGGGCCCCAGAAATAAAACTATATCCTAGATATAATGATCCCAGAAGACTGGGCCCCCTCTACCAGCTTAAATTAAAAAGAGAGGAAGACTAGAATTAAAAGCAAAAGAAGAGGTGATTGAAACTATGGCCCTGGGCTGTAAGAGAACACCAGTGGTTTAAAGAGATTATTCCAAATCTCTGGTTCATAGGGTGAAATTTCTGCAGGGCACTAAAGAGTGCTGCTGCTGCCTGCCTGCTTCATCTGATTTTCTCTTTCTCCACTTGGGCAGAAAGTTGTTTATACCTGTTTCCTAAGGAAGAGGGAAGGGAAGGGGAAGGAAAGAGAGAAATGGGCGGAGAGTGGGAAGGGGGGGAGAGAGCCAGAGAAAGACAGAGAAAAGAATCAAGGGAGAGAGAGAGAAGACAGAGAAAGAGAGAAAAAAGAGAGAGAGATGGAGGAAGGGAGAAAAAGCAACTGGGGAAGGGAGAGAGGGAGGGGAAGAGAGGGGGACAGAGAGAGACTGTGTTATAGAGAGTAACAGGTGCTTTTCTTACTAAATCAAGGTAAGCAACAATAAGCTATTCATATTAATTCAGTGGCTCAACTGATGCTGCAGGATGCCAACTTAACTCAAGTCTATTCTAAAGATAATTTAAAATGCAAAGAGAGGTAGTGTGGCATTGTGAGTAAAATGCTGGACTTGAGATCATAAGGACCTGAGTTCAAGTCCATTCTTTATCTGTGCAACTACAGACAAGTTACAACCTCTCTGTGGCCCAGACAACTCTTTAAAATTAAAGTAAGGGGCAGCTAGGTGACACAGTGGACAGAGTACTGACTCTGGGGTCAGGAGGACCTGAGTTCAAATCCGGCCTCAGACACATAACATGCACTAGCTGTGTGACCTTAGGCAAGTCACTTACCCCCACTGCCTAGCCCCCACCCCCCAAAAAAAGACTAGAATAAGAGACAGCATTTATAAAGCACTTTTATGGTTTGCAAAGTGCTTTAAGAGGTCCTTGACATCATGAAGTTAAAACAAAAATGTTCTGATTTTCTAAATCACTTTAAAACAAGTGGCATTTCCATCCTCATCTTCTTGCCATATCTCCTACAAGACTGCTTCACATGGCAGTGTGCAAATAAATTGACTAGAGGATATAATATGTTACCATCACTGGTACTTACAATCCATTAGGTATCTTTTAAAAATGCATTTATCTCCAGGAAGGGGAATAAATGTTATCTGTCATGGTACATGAGGTATTACCCTAGGAACAGTGATTCTTTTACATGATTTTAATTTATTAATTTAACATGTCTAATAACCTTTTCAAATGCCTCATCACATTTTTCTCTTCTTTCACGAACAAGCTGCTACTAGTGCTAGGATGACTCCATGTCAACTAGCAGGCATTTTCCAGGGCTTTGTTTTGTTTTAAACTAAAAAAAAAAAATTGGGGGGGGGTGAGGCAATCAGAGTTAAATGACTTGCCCGGGGTGATACAGCTAGTGTCTGAGGCCAGATTTGAATTCAGTTCCTCCAGACTCCAGGGCTGGTGACCTATGGCACCACCTACATGCCCCTAGACAAAAAATTCTAATCTGCTCCTTGTTTAGCCTTTCCACGGCATCTGGTAAATGAAAAACATCTGGCTAAGTGTCACTGGTATCTTCAAATGGTAGCTCTGAAACTCTATAAGGAGTGTCTATCACTGTCATCTCCAGTTCATAACCACAGAAGCTGGAGAGCTAGAAAGGGCATATGTACTAAGACTTCTATTACACAATCTCATCTGGGCCTTCCCTCAGAGCAGCAAGACAATCCTTTTGACACTTTTTGACTTCCTAGGCCTCCTTCAAGGCTCATCTCCTTATGCATCTTATGCAAGATGCCTTTCCCAGTGTCTCTTCCTAATTCCACCCCACTCCCCCACTGCAAGTATCTTCTCTCTGAGGTTACTTTCCAATATTTTCTTTCTCTCTCTCCCTCCCCTTCTCCTTATATATACATACACATATGTGTATGCATATTGTGTATATGTATATGTGTATGCATATTGTGTATATGTTTTGTGTGTAACTAAATCTATACACACATATTTATTATATATATTTATATGCTGCAATATACATATATGCAATATACATATATATGTGTATATATACATTTTTGTGTGTATATAAAATGTGTGGGTATCTTAAATATCCTTAGTCATTCTCATATTGCCTCCCCCATGAGAATGTGAGCTCCTTAAGGGCAAAGCTGTGTTTTTGCCTTTTTTTATGTTCCCAGAGCTTACCACAGTGCCTGGGCAAATAAGAAATGCTTAAAAAAATGCTTGTTTACTATTGTTTAAGTGATTTAGAGGCATAGACTGGACAACACCCCACTCTAGAGATTTTCTATTAGTTTATATTCCTTCCCTTATTTTTTTATTGCACTTTGAATGATACTCCAGAGGTAGCCAAGGTTGAGACTAAATTAGGTTAAAGGTATCTGGCAAGACTAGGTAGAAAGAGTCAATGTGTATGGAAAGATGAAAAATACCCCTGAGAGCGGCAAGGAGTGTATTCTGGAAAAACAATGCCAGAGCTGGAAAGGGCCTGAGAGATAACTTAATTCAATGCCCTGGTTTTATGGATGAAGAAACTGAGGTCCTGAGAGGTATAATGATTTTCCCAACAGCACACAGCTAGTTAGGGGTTTTCCTGATTCTTAATCCAGATCGCTCTCTGCTCCATCATGTTGCCAGAGTGGTCAAGATAAAATTCACAGAATGGGAGCATTAGAGTGTCTAATATAGCCTATTATCTAATGAGTCACTCTTTGACCCTGGGTAAATCTTTCCTGCCTCAGCAGCTGATTAACAGCAAATGAGGTTTCACGATTAGTCAAACACGAGCAGGGCCTTTTTTCTCTCCAGATGAATTATGACAATGAAAAGAAAGTATGGCCTCACTGCCTCCATAAGGTTCAATTGTTTAAAAGTGCACAAGGGCTAAGGCTAACTGAAGGTCAGCCCGTCCTGACCTATTTTTCTTTGGCTATTTGGTTACAGCTTAACTTCTTGTAGGAAATGGAAAGTCATGTGCACACATCTTAATGAGCTCCCATCTGACCTCAGACTATTTCAGGAAGAAGGAGAGAGAGAGAGAATTCTCTTAGAAAAGTTTGGAAAGGCAGCTCCTAGAACAAGGCTTCAGTTGAGGGAGGCAAGAGCCATGCATTCCCTCTATCAGCACTGCCAGAAAAGAAAGAGGGGGAGGTGGGGTGTAGATGGCAAGCCCCACCCTGAGAAATGAAGTCATTAATTCACTTCGTAGCACAGGCATGTGCGCTGAAACATAAGCCTGAATGATATGGTGATGTTAACAAGATATTCAATCATCCTACAATTTGCAAACAGAAATGCCCTGCGGCTTCCCACTAATTTACACACTGGTCACATATCCAAACAGGGGCTTCCTAATGATGGTCATGCCTTGAAGAGCTTGACAGTGGTTCCATCCTGGAGCTTGTTTTCTTCACCCTGCTGTGAGCCCAGATACACATAGAGAGTCTATGCTGCAGGTCCTGGCCTGCCAGCCAGCCCACTTTATGGCAAAACATTCTGGTGAATTCCAAGATGTGAAACTTGTAGAGATGCAGCAGCAGCAGCAGCAGCAGCAGAGGCAGCAACAGCAATGGGAAGTTAGTTGAACTCAGCCAGATTCTCCTGGTCAGGCACTTTAGGAGAGTCCACTGACTCTTACAGGCCAAAAAGCCAAAACTAAACTGACTACATTAATGAATGGAAGCAGAGTCAACAAGGCTGAGAATTTACCATGTACACAGCCCTGCACTAATCACAATAGAGAGATGCTTCTACAAAGAAGCACCAGATAAGGTTCTAGTCCAAAAGGAGATAAATCCAAAACACTGAATAATCCTAAGCCACTGGCATGTAAATTTCAGGTATATTACATAATGAACATGTAGGGACTTTGTACTTGTACTTCTAAGGAGGACAAGCATTTCCCAGTTCCCATTTATGTTTTCAGTTACATAAAAATTAAAATTAATTGGGATTCTCTTAGTCCCCTGGAGCTGGGCAGGATGGCAAGGCTACTCAGGTATCCTAGAAGGTGTGGAAAGGCTGAATTTTAAAGTTGTCTTAATACACAAAGTGGGTAATCCAGATGCATTTAGATGATAACTGATGCTATCACCTAATGAGAGGTGATTGATAATCATAGGTGATGATAATAATCACCTAATTCTGTTTGAATTAGCAGAACTCTCTTACAGTGTTTAATGTTTACACATACACACACGTACAAATGTTTAAATTTCACATTCTGGAATACACAACCTAGTCCTGGGGTGGGGGAACCTGAGGCCTCGAGGTTCCCCCACCGGAGTCCTAGTCTCTCTGTTCTACTTTTTTTTTCCCCTTGAGGGGGAAAGGAGAGAGAATAAGCCTTTTGAACCACTGACAAACAAGGCCATCCACGGGTCCTTGGTTCCACGAGCCACTCACCTGTACAGTTGGCTTCATCAGACCAGTCCCTGCAGTCATTGTCCCCGTCACACACCCAGGAGGAGCGGATGCACATTCCTGAGGTGCAGTTGAATTCATCACTTCGACACTGGTGAGCTTCTAAAGGGGAGTGAGCAGGACAACGAAATGAGAACAATAATAATCCCTGATCAGGTCAGACTAATGAACCCCATACTAATTCTTTTGTCTCTGAGAGAGGTTCCATTAGAGCACAGTTCTTCTTCATGATGCGTTCAAGATGAACGTAACCTTTTCTAATTCCTCAAGAAAACTCCATTACAGGATCTATTCTCTGTGAGTTTATACAAATTTGTCTTGAAATTATTTACTGTCTGTATCACTTAAGGGCAATGCACTCCCTGCTATTAAAAAAAGGGCTGATAAGCTGGGGGCCTTTGTTACCAAATAGCAGGATGCCACTATGTGTCAGGAATGTGGAAGGAAGAAGGGGAGGGGGTGTCAAGCATGGGTCCCTGCCCTACTGCTTCTTAGGGTATCGCTTTTCACCTGTATTGTCTAACAGGAGATACTTCAAGAACAAGTGGATTAGAAGACAATGTTGTCCTCTTCAGGAATCATCAATACAACTGTGCTTGTAAAGATCCACCTGGATATTGTGATGTCAACTACAACAAGCTGGGGGGGTGATATACAATCTCTGCCCTCAAGGTGCTTCAGAAAGAGAAATATTCTTCCCCCAAAGTTACCTTGGATAGGGGAACCTAACCAGGGGGAGAAAGCTGTGACCAAACAAAAGTGGAGGGCAGTACAGACAGTAAAAGGGAAAGAACAATGCAGAGTCCCTTCAAGGCAGACTAGGTATACTATGACTGAGGATTGTTTTTTTAAACATGTTACTGTGTCCAGTTGGGGTGCCGGGGAATGAGGTGAGGCCTCACAGATATATTAGAGTGCTGCTTAGTTCCTCATTCACTCCCAGGTACTTAGTATGTATTGTGCATTTACCTGTGTTCCTGCTGTTCTCTTCAAATAGGATATAAGTTCCCTGAGGGAAAAGACTATTTCACTTTCTGTTTTGCATCTCCAACCCTTTGCATACTGTCAGGGGTAGAGAGGACCTGAGGCCTCGAATAAACACTTACTGAATTCTGTATATACAGATTATATACACTAATACTTCTACACACTGTAGGTAGAATAATTGCACTACAGTAGACTCTGCAAATATCCTATTGCAGTGACCCTGCTAAGGCAAGATGAGGAGGTGGGAAGAGGTGGGTGCTCCGGGAGAAGAGTCTGAGAGGCTTGGCTTGGCACCAAGCATCTCGCCTTGTACTGTGGATCCATTCAACCAACCATCTGATGGATGCTCAATCTCCTCAAGTGGATATCCAATTCATCCATGCCTGCCCCCCCCCCCTTTTTGGTGAGGCAAGGGGTTAAGTGACTTGTCCAGGGTCACACAGCTAGTAAGTGTCAAGTCTCTGAGGACAGATTTGAACTCAGATCCTCCTGACTCCAAGGCCGGTACTCTATCTACTGTGCCACCTAGCTGCCCCCCATCCATATCTTCTTACCCAAGTAATTCTTAAAATCACAGATTTGGAGCTGGAAGTATTTTAGAAGCTATTGAGAGGCCATCCAACTTCCTCATTTTACAGATGAAGAAACTAAGGCACAGAGAACTAAAGCCTTGCCAAAGTAACAACACGGCTAATAAGTATCTGAGGTAAGATCTGAAACCAGGTCTTGACAAAAATCCAGCACAAGATCGCCTATACCATGTTGCAGGTTGTCCATCTCTAGAAATTTGCCATAGAAAGCCCACCCAACATGATGAGACAGGGAGACAGGGCTTTCTCTCCATTTGTTTTTCCCCCTATTTCATTGATAGCAGTGCATCATTTGGGCTGTTTATCCCTCATCTTGGTCAGTCTACATCCTACCCTAAAACGACATGACTTACATCACTTCAACTGTGCACGTGCTCCTTAGATGTACAATTCAGCATATTTATACCTGTTATATGCATCTCCATTGCCCTACAGAAACCCCATGATTCTGATCCATCAGAGACGGTGGTGTTCCATGATTCAGAACATCACCAGGAACATGCTTTTTTAACAAAAGATGGCCTTCAGTGCAGGGAACAGTTCAAATTCAGCAAAACTACAAAACTCGCATCATCTCCCAAATATGATTTAGCCCCATTTCTTTCTCCTATTCATAGGATCATACATTTAGAGCAAGAAGGAATCTTTGAGGCTAGTGAAACCCCTTCCTTTTTATAGATCAGGAAACTGAGGCACCTAGAAGCCAAATGACTTGTCCAGAACCACACAGCTAGCAAGTATCTAAGGCAGCTTTTAAAGCCAAGTCTCCCTGATTCCAAGTTTAGCACTCCATTCATACACCACACTGCCTCTTAAACATTCTGGTCTTTACTCGGGGTCCATCTGCAATGTCTGTTCAAGACATGTACTTATACTGATGGAATATCTTAATGGGTTGCCCTTCGTGTTACAACATGGGCAACATGCATATTCGGCTACTTGGTTTTTTCCCAGTGTGGATCAATCAACAAAATAAGGAGCTGAAATTAAGTACCTACTATGTGCTAAGCATTGTGGCAGGCACTAGAGCTACAAAGACAAATGAAATAGTCCCTGCCTTCAAGAAGATTATATTCTACTTTTTTGATCTTTTTTGAGAGACTGTAGATCTCTGTTAGGAAGCTCTATAATATCCCAGGAGCAGGTAGGTGGCACAATGGATAGAGCACAAACCCTAAGTCAGATGAAATGGGGGGGGGGGAAGCCTTCAGTTAACTCTAGGTGGTGTGGATAGTAAAGTGGTTTTAAATCTGGGCATGGAGATAGGCTCTCTAATTAGAATAGAGCAGATTCTGGACCGGATGGTGGAAGCCCTCTCTGTCTACCCAACAACCCCAAGATATTCTTTATTTCCAGTGGGAAGATATGGTCTATGTCAGTGGGATCTTCAGAAGTCAGCCCTCTCCTTTTCCCTTACCACAGTGACTTTCATCACTATTGTCTCCACAATCATCCTCCAGGTCACATTTGTAGGACAGTGGGATGCAAGTCCCAGATTCCAGGCATCGGAACTGGGTGTCCAGATCACAAACGGTGGTAGCTGAGAGGAAAGAAGGCACAAAGAGGAGGAGTTAAATGAGTTACATGGTGTGACCATGGGCAACATTGCCCACCCTGCCCATCCCCACTCAACTGGCCCTGGAGAAGCACACCAAGATCTACACCGTTGGCCCTTGCCAGGCAACGACACCCCTTGGAGACTGAGCATTATAACTCATTTGCTACCCACTCCTACCCCTAAGACACCCACCACCTATTTCTCTCCTCCTCCCTGATTACTCAAGCACCAGCTACCTATGTCTCATTCTCTCACCTTCCACCTCCCACCTCCCATTCTCTTATCTCTTTCCTCCTCAACTCTGCCCCACCCCTGGTCAGATACAACCCCAATCAGCCATTTAACTCTGCTTTCTGGGATCCTCCTTCTACAATGCACAAACCACTTCCTTATGCACCAACCCTCTCCCATGCTCCTTCAATTTACTCGTACTCAATGAGGGCTGACTTCCCTCTCCAGCACTGACTACATCTCCACTCCCACCCCCTGACCCCCTGTTTCTGAAGGGCGAGTTGAAATACTCCTTGCTTCCCACTTCCATTTCCAGGCTCTCCCCTTCCTGTCATTGCTCAGAAATTTCTTCCCCATTTTCACTTTACTCACATCATGGTGGCAATTGCGTATCAGCTGCCTTCTCACCTAAGGAGTCCAGTGTCTGGCTCATTGTCTCCCTCTCTTCCCCAGCTCCTGCTCTAACACTGGGGACTTCAATATGCTAGCAGAGGTGCTTTCAAATGTGCCATGACCTAACTCCTCCACCCATCTCAACTACACAAGGACAATCATCACGGATCTCACAATTATTCCATTTCCTTGTTCAAAAACTCTTGACATCCCTCCAACTTTAGGTACTTTCTCTGTCCTTCACTTTACTCTGAGTTCACTCTCCACTCTTCCTAATCTCTGTGCTATAATTTACCAGCTCTACTCTGGAATCCCTTATCCAACTGTTTTAATTATCACTCATAACTCACCAAACCCCAGGCCTGGGCTGCTCTCACTATCTGCTTCCTCTGGTCCTATTCATGTGTTGATGAATAAAGCTGGATGAAATTGCAAAACAGTGTGGACTGGATACACTATAAATCCATGTTACTCAACTAAAATGGAGTCTTCACTGAAACAAGGCAATCCTTTTATTCATCCCTTATTTACTGTCTCACTCATCAAAGAAGTTATTCCAAACCTTCTCTTCAAGCCTCCCATACCTTCTCTTCCCACTACTCTTTCAGCTAAGGATCTTGTCTCTTAATTTACTTAGAAAATTGAGGCCATTAATTGTAAGCTCCCTCTTTTCCCCTTCTCTTCATCTCAAAACACACTGACATCCTCTCTCCCAGTCATTGATAATGGGGTAAAGGCCAAACTCTCAATATCTGTCCTTTCTATTTTCTCCAGCAGGCTGTCACCTCAGTCATACCTATTTACCTTCTCTACTCAGTCCTTCCCTATTTATTGCCTCCAAAGGCGTCCAAATCTGCTTCATCCTGAAAAAACATTAACTAGAACTTACGATTCCCTCAAGCTATCATTCTAACTTTCTCAGCCAAATTCCTAAAAGAGATGACAATACTTAATGCCTCTACTTCCTTTCCTCCCATTTAGTCTTCAGCAATCTAGCTTTCAATCTCAAACTTCTCTCTCCAAAGTTCCCAATGGTCCCTCAAATGCTGAATCCAACAGACTTTGCTCAATCCTCCTCCTTCTTGACCAATCTGCTGCACCTGACACTATAGCCACCCTTTCCCTCTTGGATGCTCTTTTCTCTCTGGGGTTCTGTATCATTATTTCCTCCTGGTTCTCCTAGTACCTGCAGGAGAACTTCTCAGTCTCCTTTGCCGGCTCATCACAGACCAAACTGTGGATGGCCTCCAAGGCTCAGTCCAGGAACCTCTTCTCTCTATATTCTCACTCAATGGGCTTAATTACCATCTCCAAGCATGTAACTCCTAAACCTGCATGTCCAGTCCCAATCTCTCATCACTTGAGCTTTGGTCCCATATCACCAGTTACCCATGGGACAATTCAGACTTGTGCCAGCCACATCTTAAACTCAATGTATCTAAAACAAAACCCATTATCTTTCCTCCTAAACTCCCCTTCTTTCCATCAAAGGCACCACTGCCCTTCTAGCCTCTCAGGTTTGTAACAATATTATCTTATCTCTTTTTTACTCTCTCTCACCCCACATAGCCAATCGGTTGCTAAATCTTGTCGCTTCTACCTTTACATCTCTTGCATTTGCACCCCACCCCAATTCATACAGCCGTCATCTTAGCTCAGAACCTCAGCACCTCTCGGCTAGATAGTAACTGCAACAGCCATCTACTTGTCTCCCAGTCTCGTCTTTCCCCACCCCAGTCAGTCCCCTACCCCAAAGGCTGGCAAACTACAGCATACTGACCAAATCCAGCCCGTCTTTACACAGCCCATTAGCTAAGAATGATTTCTGCATTTTAAAATTAAGTTTTACTGCACTTGAAAATGAACAGCATTCCCCAATTGATAAATGGTCAAAGGATATGAGTGGGTTGTTTTCAGATGAAGAAATTAAAGCCGTCTACAGTCATATGAAAAAATGCTCTAAATCACTACTAATTAAAGAAATGCAAATCAAAACAACTCTGAGGTACCTCGTCTCTCTATACTCTCACTCAACTTCACTGGCTTCCATGGGTTTAATTACCATTTCCAAGCATCATACCTATCAGACTGGCCAACATGACAAAACAGGAAAATGACAAATGTTGGAGAAGATGTGGGAAAATTGGAACACTAATGCATTGCTGGTGGAGTTGTGAAATGACCAACCATTTTGGAGAGCAATTTGGAACTATGCCCTGAAGGCTACAAAAATGTGCATATCCTTTGTATCCCAAAGAGACCATACAAATGGGAAAAGGACCTATAGGTACAAAAATATTTACAGCAGCTCTTTTTGTGGTGGCAAAGAATTGGAAATTGAGAGGATGCTAATCAATTGGAGAATGGCTGAACAAGCTGTGGTATGTGAATGTAATGGAATACTATTGTGCCATAACAAATGATAAGCAGGCAGACTTCAGAAAAACCTGGAAAGACTTGTATGGACCGATGCTGAGTCAAGTGAGCAGAACCAGGAGAACATTGTACAGAATACACAGTACGCAGTAACAGCCACATCGTGTGATGACTAACATTGATAGACTTAGCCCTTTTCAGCAATGCAAGGATCTAAGACATCTCCAAAGGTCTCAGGATGGAAAACGCTATCCACATCCAGAGAAAAAACTACGGAGTTTGAATGCAGATCAAAGCATACTATTAGCTATTTTTTTTTCTTCTGTTGTGTTTTGTTTCCTCTTTCTTGTGGTTCCTCCTATTGGTTCTAATTCTACCTTACAACATCACTAATGTGAAAATATGTTTAATAGGAATGTATCTGTATGGCCTATATCAGATTGTGTGCTGCCTTGGAGAGGGAGGTGGGGGGGGGAATTTTTAAATCAAAAGCTTATGGAAGCGACTGTTGATAAATCAAAATAAATTAATTTTTAAAAAAAGAAAAGAAAATGAACAACAATTCTTAGCTCATGGGCTGCACAAAAGCAGGCCGGCCGGATCTGGTCCTCAGGCAATAGCTTGTTGAGCCCCTTCTCTATACAGCTGCCAAAGTGGGTTTTTCCCCCCCTCTTAAGCCCAGATCTTATCATGTGACTCCTCTACTCAATAAATTCCATCCCAGCTAGTTTTCAAAGCTCTTCATAACCTGGCTCCAACCTACCCTTCTAGACTTATTGACTGACTATTACTCCCCTTCTCATACTACTCAATCCAGCCCAATCAGCTCTTCTGTTCCTCACACACAGTGCTTCCGTTCCTCTCTCCAGAACTTGCAATGATCATCATGCCCAGCGCTTGGAGTTCACTCTCTCTTCACTTGGCAAGAAGAGTTCACTTCTCTTCCTTCAAGATGCATATCAGATACCACTTTCTGAATGGTATGATTTCTGATTCCCTCTCAAATGCCAGTGCCTCTGCTCTAATTAACCTGTGTTTATTCTCGTTATATTTATTATCTCGTTATATTCATATCTGTACTCGTCTCCCCTGGTAGACTGTAAGCCCATTGCGTGGAAGGACTACTTCATTTTTTATATCTCTATCTCTATCTATATAAAAGGAGCTACCAGCCCCTTTGTTCCCAAGACACTATTCCTGGAGAAGGCTAAGGAAGTTGGCTGTTTGGCAAATGACTCTCTCCACCATGAGCAACAAACCAGAATGAGCAGCATGCTGCTGGCTAGGGGCCTGGTGGCAGTGGTGGGCGGGGATGCGGGGGAGCCTGTGTAGACATTTTGGCACTCTGATTTGGGGCTCCATAGCTTCTCTGTAATTGAGATGTGAGTGGGAGGCCGAGCCTGAATACAAAATGACAAGAGTGAAGGAGATACTCTTGCAATGCTCAAGTGCCTGGCACTTTCCTGCTGAGGGAGTGTGTTAGAGAGGGGAGGCCATCTCCTGAGAGCATCCTCCCCGCTTCCCTCCAGACCAACCCTCAGCTTCTCTTTCACTGTCTCACTGAACACCCCAGAGGGCACAGAGGCAGGGGCCTGAGCTACTCCAGGTGTTCTGACCATTTGTTGACAAAACATACACTCAGCTCTATCTTTTATAAGCATCACTTTTCCACTGACTGGGATAAGGAATGCAGTCCATGGGTGGCATAAACATTTATTTTGGTTTCCAGGCATCACTTTCTCCACCTTGCTTAGTTAATCTCTCACCTTCATTACCTCTCCCTTCCCTAGCCTCCATTAAACGCAGTTTCAAATGAAGAGCAGAGGGCCACCATTTCCCTGATAAGGAAGCCTCAGCCCCAGCTCCTGTTTCCCAGCAAGGCCTGATGGAATGTGGTGTCTCAACCAAAACAGGAGAAGGTCAGAGCCAGATCCATTTTTCACTCTAAGGATGGTGATGGACCAGTGTTTTCATTAGCCTAGGGGACTTTCACATGAGCACACTCCCTTTGCCAATGCAGGATAGTACCTTTTCTGCAACATACATTCTCGGAGTTGCCTAGAGCATTGAGTGTCTAGGGCTGCATAGCCCATAATAATGACAACAGCGGTATATAACCAGAGCAAAAATAAACATCTAAAACGTCTCAGGTTGTTGCTAAGCGAGATGTAACGGCTATAGTGAAATTGGGGAAAAAAACAATTTGGACACTGAGAGGTCAAATATTTGAAAGAGATGAAAAATGGGCACATATCTTCCTTGATAAACAAGAAACTATTATAAACCAAACTAAATAGTGGCCAATAATGCTGTTTGAACTAAGGAAGTGGAGCTGTGACAGGTCTCAGGGCTCACCCTCATCTAATACTCTCATTTTACAAAGGGGGAAAAACCTAAACCCCAGAGAGATCTGTCACTTGCCAAAAGTCCCAAAACGACTTATAACAGAGTCCACCCTATACTGCAATTCCTACAGTACAGTTTCTATTACATTGTGCTCATGTTATACATTTCTTTGAGTACACTATTAATTTGTTATTATTTTAAGAACGCTATTATTTCTGTACAAAAGGCATAACTGAATGGGGAAACATATTAACATTTCATTCAGATTATCTTTATCACCTTCACTGATTCTGCATCTATAGTCTAGGTACCTAATTACCTACATAGAAAGTGTGTCTATTCCTTAAGGGCAAAGACTGTTTTTGCATTTTGTTCTATCTCCAGCTCTAACCGTGAGGTACTTAAATGAAATGCTTGCTGACCTGAATGCCAGCAGAACCAGCAATCACCTGAGAAGCACACTGCTCTCTACCGGGGGCTACAACCTGACTCACAAGCCTAGAAAAACTAACCCCTGTCCCTTGGAGATTCAAGCCCATGGAAAGATGGGAAACCAAGAGCCCAGCCAAGCCCCGTGACTCACGGCAGTTCCTCCGTCGCTCATGTCCCCACAGTCGTTGTCATAGTCACACCACCAAATACTGTTGATGCAGTTCCCGTTGGTGCAGCGATACTGATTGCGGAGGCAGGTGTTTTCTGGGGGATCGGTAATCCGGAGGGGGGAGGTAGGGAAAACAGACCAAGCATCACTACTGTGGAGTGCACAGCACAGGGTTTTTGCTGCTGTTTGGCCTTTGTTCTCGAAGAGGACCATGATATCAGGGAGGCGATGCCACGGCATGCAAGTGAACTGGATTTCAGCGAGGGAGGGCTGCGCTTTGGCGGTTTTCCTCTCTCATCTTTACCTCAGGACCAGTATGGAACTGTGGGGGTGGGCTGGGAACAGACACACTTAGAGGGCAGGGGACATATTTCTGTGTTTCTTCTTAATGAAAAGCAAAAGAAGAAAAAGAAACTAAGAAAGGGTACAAGGCCACCTGAGATGATTAACAAGGCCAGTGGGATGAGGGAAAACTGAGTCTCCTATAATGTTATTATATTGGGAAAGGTTATCCTCACATTGAACACTTTAGTGGGGACCCAGACCATCCTATATTTAAGAAAACATTCGATTTAGTAACTTACTGGATTATTTTGCTTTTGTCTATGGTGATTTTTAAATTTATTATACATATATTTTATTTTTCTTATATGACTTTTTTTAAAAAATAAAACAAGTATTCTCTACTTCCTACACAGAAAAAAAATGCATTTTTTAAAAAAGAAATTGGGCTGAGGCAATACATAGAGATCTTCGCGTCGACAGCCATTTGATCAATGGCCAGGTTGTGTTCTGAGAACAGACACTGAAAGGATATTCCTTACACCCCAAAATGTGGTGTAAATTCTGACTATTCTATTTCAAATACCTTTGAGATGTCATATAGAACCCAAGAATATATGCTCTTTTTCAGTTCCTATTTATTTTTCTTAGGAAAGGGTCTAAAGTACTGCCATTGTATATTTAGCTGCCCAGCCTCTAAGACTGCTGTGAGAAGGGAGCTTATGATTACAAAGAAAATATCACCTGGGGCAAATGCAAAGGAGGAATTCAGGACATCAACACCGGCCAATCAGGAAAAGGAATGGTCAGCCAGTAGGTCAGCTCATTGTCATGGCAACACAAGGGCTGGGTAGGAGGAAGGGGTGCACGGAGTCTGGACTAGACACCCATAGGTTGGAACTCAATATGAGGCAAAGTCCACAGTGGGCTTGGACCCTGAGGTCTTTTGTAAACACTGGCAATGGCACTTTGGGGAGTCTGCAGCGAAACAAAGCTGTCTCGAAATAACGCCCAGGTGAGATGCATTTGAAGCAGGACTGGTACCTTCTAGCCAGGGAGGTGGAGAAGGAATGGTAAAAAGGTCAGGGGTCAGAGTGGAAAAATTAGGTGCCTAATTCTGACATTAAACAGAAAAGCACAATATCTGAAAACAGGGATCTCATTTTGGGGTGAACAGCTCCCAGCTGTTTGAGATTGGTCTTGCCCTAAGGCAGAGTCTACCCTGATAAGGTTTCGAGAACTAGGGGAAGAGGTTGGGGGGGAGGGGAAGAAGAGAAGGGAGCCAAGCCAAGGAAGACCCACAGGGGCCTCTCACCTTCTTTGACACAAGTATTATTCTTCAGCTCATAGCCCCGAGGGCAGTCACACCTTAGCTCCCCCGATGGAAGGACGCTACTGGATACACCCTCAGGACACCTGCAGCTCTTGCCCTGGTTGGCTTTGGGCAAACACAGCAGGTTGCAGGGCCTGGATACACAGGCGTTGCTTCCTGGGTGGAGGAAAAGAGGTAGCAATGTGGTAGGTTATTAAATGAAAAATGGATGATGAATGGATCTGCGGTCCCCTGACGTTCCCAAGTCCTGCCCAGACAAGGGTGGTCATAGTAAGAGGCTATGAAGCCCAACCCCCGCACCCATCTGACAGATCAGAGAAGTTAAGTGACTCTCCCAAAGTCACACAGCTTAAAAGCAGAAGAACTAGATTAGAATCTAAGTCTTCCACCTTTTCTTCAGTCTTCTTTGTACAATACTGGGCTGCCAGACTTTCAATTCAAGAAACGCATCACTAATGTAATTAAGCAGCTTCTGGTCTAAATGAAGTGTACCCAATAGCTTAGACTGCATTACAGAAATACTTTTGGGGGTTAGGGGAGCAGAGCCCCTGTAATCTGGAAAATCAATGCAAAACTTTGTGGCCCTCCCTTTGGCCCAGAGAAGAAGTCTGCATTATTATGACATTAGAAGATAAAATACATTGACACTATGCAATACTATACATATATTTTATGCGTTTCTGAGTTTCTAAACTTTTTCTGTGTCATCTGCTAGCCTTTGTATGTTGTCTGCAGCTTCTGCAAAACTCCTCCAAAATTCCCATTTAATTTCTTATGCTGACCCATGATATATCAAAACTGCAATGGGGAAAGTTGAGATGTGAAAATGGTAACTGTAATTTGGTAGTATTTGTAATGAGAATTATTAATAGTCTCTTCAATTTTCCTCCAAAGTGCAGCAATCTCACAAACACATGGAAGACTACCAAATTCAAGAACACCTGAATCTGGATCCTGCCTCAAATACTTACTAGCTGTGTGATCCTGGGCATTCATTTAACCTCTCTATGCCTCAGTTTCCTCATCTGTAAACTGAGAGTGAACAGTAGTGCTTATCTCATAAAGCTCTCGCAAACTTTAAGTCACTATATAAAGTGATCTATTATTAATGTTGTTCCCAAAATACAAAGGGAGAGAGGAATCCCCTGCTGTTTAACACCCACATATTTTCCTAGAGCCCAACTTAAAAATAATAATACATCACATTTACATAGCAATTCAAAATTTACAATGCACTTTCATTCAAAATAATTTTATGAGATGGGTGGTAGGATTATTATTTAATCCATTTTATAAATGAGAAGCCTAATCAAGGCACATTAAATGTCTTGTCTAGGGTTACACAGCTAGTACATATTAGCTTACCCATCAGAGCATCAAATTAGGTTGTTGCCATATTCCTATGAAACACCTTTTATAATTGCGCACATAGACCCTAGTCATGGGGAGGGCGCAGGTAGGCACTTCCTGACACCACTGCCATAGACCCCTTACCCCTTCTTCCCCTGCACAGAAAGTCATGAGAGGCTGGTCCCCATACATTTACACAAACCCCATCTGTGCAGGCTTCAGAATCAACCCCAGGTGTAATAGTAATCATGTGCTCTGGTACAGCTGGCTTTAACAGTAATCTGCTAACAATAACAAGGTTCTGATATCCTGTGAGTATGATGGTATCTCATAACGGAGTTTTTAACTGGTTAGACAAAAAAAAAAAGAGGAGAAAAGGTGAAACAGCAGTGGTGGTCAATGCTGCTTCCATCAAAAGACAGGCTCATGCTGTAGAGACAAGGAAACCCCAAACATTTAAGGAACAGCTGAGATTAACAAGATGGAAGTTCCATATTATTTTTCAACAGGAAAAGAAGTGGGAAGGAGAGAAAATAACATTTTTGTTCATTAAAAAATTTTTAATTTAAATTTTAAAAAAGGGAATGGTGTGCCCAGGTGATATGAAAATGAACTGATAACTTTAGCACACTGTCAATTCAAAATTACAAATCTGTACCAGGCTCAATAGGCTTCAGTACTAGAGAGAAAACCCCAAAAAAAGCTAACATAATCTTGGGCTGCTCAGGACAAGAGAAGTGGTAATATTGTTATCTTCTGCTCTTATCAGCCAGTTCTGTGCAGCTTTGAAAGCCAGCTCTGTTTTCACCAAGATCCTGACAAGCAGAAGCAGATCCATGGGAGGGAGAACAGGATCATAAGGGGATTTCAAACTGTGCTGCCCTAGGAGTGAGGATCAGTCAGAAAAGCGGGGTGCTCAGCTTTGAAAAGAGAAGATATAGGCAGGGTCAGGATAGCTGTCTTCAAAGATTTGAAAGGCTGTATTGTGAAATAGGAAACAGTCATGTTCTGTTTGACCCCAGAGGGTAGACTAAAGATGAATGGGTGGACATTAGAGAAAGGAAGATTTAGGTCTGATATAAGTAGAGAGACCTCCTTCAAATCAAAACTGCCCCCAAAATAGATTAAGCTACCTCAGGAGGTCATGAGTTATCCATCTCTAGTGGTCTTCGAGCTGAAGCCAAATGAGTACTTATCAGAGACGATAAAGAAGGAGCCTCTATACAGGATTGGACTGTTAAAGAAAAAGCTTTTTCATAAATACAATTAATGCAACTACATTAAGAAGGGAAGGTATCAATGGGTGAGGGGAGTAGAGGGAAAATTTATATCCTATATCTCTGATAAGGGACTGATAGCCAAGATAAACTGCACAATGATGGCCCTGTAAGAAAAGCAGGTTAAAGTCCAGTCTGACATGAGGCATGAGACCTCAGCCTATTTGAACTTCAGTTTGCTTGGTCTGAAAAATGGGGCTAATAATGCCTATGCTACCTACCCAAAAGGCTGCTGTGAAAACTATTCTAACTTCTGAGATCCTTCCAGATCACAGTTCTTGCTCCCCCAGCCCAGATGAGGTCCAGGGTCTTTGGACTTCCTGCTTTCCTAACTTAACACAAACAATTCCAGAACTGTCATTATTTCTAGTGTTATCCCAGGAAAGGTTGCTGAGGAAGTTTGCATGATGTACATACACATACCGAATCCTTTAAACATTCTGATTTCAGAACAATGACTGTAAATCCAGTCGCTTTCTCCCCACCTTAAACATCACCCCTGCATCCCACCCCCTCCTCACACACATATAATCACCCTCTATAGTATAGCAGCTCTAAAACTTTTTGGTCTTAGGACTCCCCTTGGTAGTAATTCTAAAATTATTGAAGATGCCCCCCCTCCACCCCCAAGAGCTTTTGTTCACGTAAGCCGTATCTATCAGCATTTACCATATTAGAAATCAAAACATCTTAGTATTATTACAAAACCAGCTTTGACCTTGCAGACCCTCCCTGAAAGGGTCTCAGGGACACCCACCCTACCCCCACTCCCAAAAATTGGAGAACGGCTGCCTTAGTGTAATCCAAGTTTGCTTTTCTTCAGTATAAAGAGGAAATCACACCCAATGTAAGAAAGGCAGCTTGCCTGTGCTACAGCTGGAGTTAGTATAAGTGCACTCTACCAATTCCCTCAGCAACTTTTTCTTAGATCACACCAGAATAATGGCATTCAAGCGGAGCTGGAACTGTTTATATTAGGTCGTCAGAGAAGTAGGGAGTCAAAGACCACATACTTCATCTGAACAAGGATATCTAAGAGCCTGCCTGCCAAATGCTTGTCAAACACACCCTTCTGAACAGTTACTTGTGAGATGGAAGATTTGCTTTTGTGGATGAGACAGAATCTCTGGATTCTACTCCTCTCACTGGGAAGATCATACTACCCCACGTCAGAGGGAAACTGTGGGATTCAAGCTATGAACTTAAAAGCAGGGTTCAATCATATCTCTCCTTCCCCTTCCCCTGAGAGATCAATGAAAAGATTTGGGTGGTTGTTGTTGTTTTCATAGTCTCCTACAATTTCTGTGCCTCTCTCAGGTTAACTCAGAGGACCTGTGAAATGAGCACCTGGAGACAGTCTGTAGTATTATCAGGCACAAGTGAATCCCACCTATATGCATGCCATAGTTTGGACTCAGAAAGATCCAGAGGCTGGACAGTGTCATGTCCTCTCTGTGCCGGTGGGCAGCTTGCGCCAGACATCAGGAGGAAGTCCAGCACATCCTCCCTCTGTTCTGACCTTGGGTCACCCATGGGAATTCACTCTTCTGCATCCCTCTGTGCTGGGCTGAAGCCAAACTCTAAGTAAGCCCTGTAGTGACGGCTATGATGACTCAGAGAATATGTCAAGCTTTCACTTTTCTCCTCTCTGTCCTCCTGTTCCTAATGACTTGAGTCAGCAGCTACCGCCTGGGAATGGCTGTCCTCTCTATTCCCCAAACCGAACTTGGCCTAGAATGATGGAATGTGTTTTGGTTTTAAAGGCACCTCAGGAATGATATTTCTTCGGTAAACTGAATCTTGCAATCCCCGCTATGAGAATGCCTTTCCTTATTTCTAACTCCCAAACCCTCCTGCTACTATTCTATTAGCCTCTAGTTCTGTTTTGAGGGAGATGGTGAACAGCTGGTCACCATCCTTTGTGTAATAAATAGCCTTGCAGAGATTTCCCTTGTTCAGGAACCACTTAATGCTCTTACCCACCCTGTGATGTTGAAAGAGAGCTTAATAAGATCATGAAGCAGAGCCAGGCAGTGTTTTCACCAGGCCCATTTGGGAATTTTCCTCCACCCTTTGCTTTACATCCTTCAATGCCCATCTGGGAAAGCATCCAGCTTGTGTCAGCCACTGTCTAGTTAAGGCTAGAGTATTCAAAGACAGTCCCTTCTATGGCCATCCAGATTCCATGCTTTTCAGAACACATCAGATTTTAAAGGAAAGAATGAAGTTTCAAGGTACTCTCCACCTTCCACACCCATAAACAGATCTACAGTTTTTCTGTCAAGAAAGCCATAGATTAACTTTGCTTCTAAGAAAATCATTAAGAGTAACAAAGGGATAGGGATAATATATGTTTTGTTTTGTTGAACACATTAAGTGCCTATTATGTGCAAAGCACTCTGCTAGGTGTTGGGGATACAGAGATTGTACCTACCCTCAGGGAGCTTACATTCTAGGGGAGGAACCAGGAGTGCCCACATAAGTAAAGAGGAGATCGAAGCAAGCATTTGTTATGCACTTACAAAGAAT